TCTGTCTGCAATAGCGAAGACCAGGTCATCTACGTAGACAAGGATGTAGCACGGGGTTTGGCCGAAACGAACGAAGAGCGAGGGGTTTGTTGACGACGGGAAGAACTGCAGGTCAGCTAGCGTAGCGCGCAGCCTGTTATGCCACTCACGGGGCGCCTGCTGCAGGCCGTAGACCGGGCGCCAGAGGAGCCACTGGGTCCCAGAAGGGAAGGTACTGGTGAAGCCGTATGCACGACGCAGGTAGACCTGCTTGTGGCAGCTGCCCTGAAGAAACACTGTGGAGAAGTCAAGGGAGTAGAGCTCGTAGTTACGATGTGCTGCTACGTGTAGCAGCGCTCGAAGAGTAGTCATCTTCGAGGTGGGGGCGAGGTCTGAAATAAGTCTACACTCTCACGCTGAATGAAGCCTCTAGCCACGTACCGTGCCTTTGAACACAGGCGGCGCTTCACCTTGAAGAGCCACCGACCATCGACTACGTTCACCCTAGGTGGGGCAATTGCGTCGACAAAGGTGCCAGTGGATGTCCAAGTTGCCATCTCCTGCTCCATGCCAACTATCCACTGAGAAGCCCAGGGTCTCGAGGTCGCCTCAGCGTAAGTGTGAGGGGTCGGGATGTCAAGAGTGTCTGGGTCACCCTCAGGGACTAGCAGTATGGAACAGAGATGGGGAGCGGCCTCGGACAGGAAAGCAAACTCGTACTGCCTGTCCTCAAGGACGTCACTGCCAAGGACAGGAGCACCCCCGACGGACGGAGGGCAGGCAGAGCCAGAGACTAGAACTGTGGCGTAGTTAAGACAGTGGGTAGAGGCGTAGTCAAGATAGTGGGAAGAGGCGAAGTCAGCGACAGGAGCGACAAGAGCGTCAAGACTCGAGAGAGGAATAGATGGGTCGGTAACGAGGGAGGCAAGGACCTGAGGAACAAGAGGACAATTGGCACGAAGGTAGTCAATCAGAGGAGGCGGAGCGACAACGAGCAACGACGGAGGAGGCGACGGGAGGAGGGGAGGACGAGACACGTGGGAACGAAGCAACACGGGGTGAGAGCGCTGGACAAGAGACACAGGAGGAGTCACAGGAGGAGAGCGAGGGGGGAAACTAGCCGGGGACGATTCCGGCGGAGGAAACACAGGGCAGGAGACAAGCAGGGGAGGCGGCGGCAGGGGAGGTGCAGGCGGGTGGTCAGGGGAGGGAAGGCGGTGCACGCAAAGGGCGGAAACCGGTAGCGACCGCTGCTGCTACTGCTCCACGCCGACACCAGAACCTCCACCTGCACTGCGGCTACCTCCAAAACGCTCCACTCCAGCACCCCCAGAACGAGAACCCTCTCCAGTACCGGTTCCATCTCCGAGACCGCTGGGACAAGCCACGACAGTAACCCTAGGACTAGCGACCCCAGAACCAGCACCCCCAAGACCTGCACCCTCCTCAATTCCTGCACCCCCAGAGCTCGCGGATTGCTGCTGCTGCGGCGGTGGTGGCGGCGCATGCTGCTGCGGCTTTGACAACGCCTGCGGCTTCTGCTGCGGCAGCGGCTGCTGCTGCAACGACGGAGGAGGGGACACCAAGGGAGAAACAAGCGGCAAGAACTGCACCGCAGGGCCACCAGAGTCAGCCGACTCCTCGACCGGGACAACCGATAGGAGGGGAGTGACGTGAGACACACCAGACGGAGTAGGATGGGGAGGGAGGGGAGCAGGGGCTATCGGGGAAGTGGGTATCAGAAACAGGGGCGGGGAAATCGGGAGACCTCGTTGAGGAAAGTGGTGATAGAAGGAGACTAACTTGTCGAAAGTGATGTTACGTGAGTGAAAGAAGCGGTGAGATGGTGGGTGGTAAAAGTGCCAGTCAGACGAGTGAAAGGGGAAACCAAGGAAGACACAGGGGACAGTGCGGGCAGTGAGCTTGTCCGTGCCAGAGACACGAACGTGAGCGAGGCAGCCCTAGACGTGGAATGCGGATGCGTCAACAGGCAACCCGGTCCAGAGAAGGGTCGTCGAAACCTGCGGCTGCTAGGAGGGTGGCCGCACGTTAAGTTGGTGAGTGGCGTAGCGAACGGCGAACGGCCACTGAAAATGGGGTGCACCGGCATGGATCATGGAGGTACGAGCCACCTCCATCACCAAATCGGTGCGTCGCTCAGCGTCCCCATTCTGCTGTGGGGAGTCCGGTAGGGCATACGACTGGGTGATGCCCTCCGCACGACAGATTTGGCCGACCAGAGGCGAACTCGCCGCCACGGTCGGAATGGAGACACAGCACAAGGAGACCGCAGTGGAGGCGCACAGCTACAACCCACGGGATAAGAACGTCAAACACGTCGACCTTCCGCTCCAAGGGAAACACTGTGGTGTAGCGCGTGTATTCGTCGACAACCACTAGAACGTAGCGATCTTGTCGTGGCCCAGGGATGTGGGCTGGGCCCTAGACGTCCAGGTGCAGGGTCTGGAGTGGCGCGGTGGCAGAGCGAAGCGAGGAGGAGTGAGGAGCACGGTGCAGCTGGCGCTCGACGCAAGGTGTGCACGGCGACGCAGGCGAGGGAGGGAGGGCAGGGAGTGACGCAGGGAGACCTAGGACAAGACCGTGCTGAGACATGTGATGAGACGCGGGAGTGCGGGGTGACCTAGCCGGTGGTGCAACAGAAGCAACGGGTGAGTGAGGGATGGATACGAACAAGCTGCAATGATCTGGGTAGACGCAGGTACCAGGGAGAACGCGCCCACCGGGGGGGGAAGCAGTGTCCAGCGTAAACAGGCCAGACGCCCGGTCCTGAGGGAGCGTCGCAAGGGGGGCACCTGAGGTGGCCTCGGTACAGACAACGTACCGCTCGTGACCAGGGAACGTAGTGGTGACGCCGAGGACCTGAAGAGAGCCGACACCAACTAGGTTCCTAGAGAACGAAGGGATGTGCAAGCCTGTAAGAGAACCCGAGGGAACCGCTGGACAAGGAAGGGTAGTGTAGCTATGGGCAACACAAGACTGGAGGAGGGGTCAGCAAGCGCGACAGCGGCAGGCGCTGCAAGCAGCATCAGCGCAGCATCAGCGCAGCGTGGTCATAGAAGAAGCAGGCAGATGCACAAGAGTCAAGCGTAAAGGATAGCGAAGCTGATGCTGCGGCCGGTGGAAGCATCAGCATACAGGAAATGCAGAGCAGAACAAATCTGGTCCATATCTAACTCAAAGACAGGCACACCGTGGCGCAGCAGACTGGCCCAGTTAGGGAGGTCCGGCGCCGGGCCGAAGCGGCGACAAAAAAGGTCGTTGAGGCGGTGGAAGCAGTGTGGGCAATGACACACAGTGCTGCGGAGGGGGCCGGTTTGGAGCTGATACTGGCAGCCCCCAGCGCCGAAGCTGCCGGCCGACGCTGAGATGCGAGGGCCGCCAATGCGGCCACCTCCACTAGAGGCACCGGGCCACCCCGGCGGGAGGCGGGCCCACGACTGCTGCTGTTGTTGCGGCTGCTGCTGCTGCTGCTGGTACTGCTGCTGCGGCTGCTGCGGCTGCTGCTGCTGCTGCTGCTCCTGGGCACCAGCCCCAGTTCCCTCGTCGGACCCACTGTCCCTGCCGCCACCTCCACCACCCCCACCACCATGCCCCCCTTTGGGGCGGCGGCCCCGATGCTGGCGCGGCTACGCGAAGGCTGCAACTGCGGTCTCAGCGGCAGTGGCTATCGCGGCGACAGCGGCAGAAACGTCAACGTACGTGCACTGGGAGGGCTCACAACCCTAGGGACTGCCGCAGTACCGCTCGACTGAGCGATGGTGCACTAGCGAGTCTGTATCTCAGAAAGGGTGGTGACAAAGGCGGTAAGGGTAAGGTCACCTGGGTGCTGACTAAGGAAGTGGTCGCGGATAGTGGCTAAGCGGCCCGGAAGGCGCATGGCAATGAGGTACAGGGTAGCGCAGAACTGCGGGGGGAAGGCAGTAAGCTGGGAGGAGATCAGGGCCGGAGGGGCAGGGAAGCAAGCCATCGACATGCACAGCCAGGGAGTGATCATCCTGGCGCTGACCTGTGAGGTGACGGCGTAGATCGACAAAGTCAGGCGGCGAAGTCGAGCGCGTGCCGCTCCGCCTCCAGGCAGAGTACAGAGTCCGCCATTGTACGACCTTAGCGACCCGACGCCACGGCGGCACGGCGGCACAGCAAGACAGCGGCACGGCGGCACGACGACACAGCGACTCGGCGGCACGGCTCCACGGCAGGAAGGAAGGCGAACACAACCGAGGCAAGCGGGGCGCGCCGACTGGTGGAGGCGCGTAAGGTCGGGCGGGGCTCACAGGGCCAGCGGCGCGCGGAAGGAGCTGGCAGGGCGCTATGGCCCAGCAGGGGTGCGGAAGGAGCCAGCGGGGCGCAATGGGCCAGCAGGGGCGCGGAAGGGCCGGCGGGGCGCATTAGGCCAGCAGAGGCGCGGAAGGGCCGACGGGGCGCAATAGGCCAGCAGAGGCGCGGAAGGGCCGGCGGGGTGCAACGGGCCAGCAGGGGCGCGAAGGGGCTGGCGGAGCGCGATAGGGCGGGCGGGGCATGAAACGGCCAGCGGGGGGCAAGGTGCCGGCGGGGCGCGAAAGGGCTGGCGGGGCGCGAAACGGCCAGCGGGGCGCAAGGGGCCGGCGGGGCGCAAAAAGGCTGGCGGGGCGCGAAAGGGCCTGGCGGGGTGCGAAGGGCTGGCTGGGCGCCAAGGGCCGGGCGGGGCTCGAAGAGCCTGGCGGGGCGTGAAAGGGGGCCAGCAGTGCGCGAGGGGCCGGTGGGGCGCGAAGGGCCTGGTGGGGCGCGAAGGGCCTGGTGAGGCGCGAAAGGGGCCAGCGGGGCTCGAGGGGAGCCGGCGGGGCGCAAAGGGCCTGGAGGGGCGCGAAGGGGGCCAGCGTGGCGCGAGGGGCCGGCGGGGTGCAAAGGGCCTGGAGGGGTGCGAAGGGGACGGCCAGCAGGGCGCTAGGTGAACAACGGGGCGCTAAGGCTAGGGCTAGGGCGGAAGCTGGTGGGCGGACCTAACCTAAGCTAATACCATCTTAGAGTGGCAGAATTAATTAGAAAGAAGGGTACACGACAGTTTTGACCTAATGAGCTGTACTCTCTAAGGCATGTCCCTATCCAGGCTATAGTAAAATCTACAAATATGTTTGACAACTCCAGCGGGTCACTCGACCCGCACAGCATCCTTTCAAGGAAAACTTCCAGCCACTAGATATCATCATCCACCTATGTACTACTTGTCGTGTAGAGAACGTTTGAAACCCACTTTCTCATATCCCACATCTGAGCACCATCTTGGCACTCATCATCATCACCTCCCGTCCTCAAAATACTCAACAAGCAGGTGCTCCACATCAGTGCGGGTGGTTACCGGGTTACCAAGTGTGAACGCCTTCAGCCAAGTGGGCATGCCTGAAAACAGGAAAGACAGCGGAGAACATAAGAGTTGAAAAAACAAACGTCAAAAGCGTTTTGGAATTGCCAGGGCTTCTAGGCAGAAAACAAGATACTTCAGCCTTGAAACCGAATGTTACTGATGTTGAAGCAATACTGTAATGGGGCAGACATGCCTCTTAATTTGTGACGGTAGGTACATACAATGAACCGTGACTGTAAAGGGCATGCATCAAAACAGTGACTGTACAGAGCATACCTTGAAATGTGACTGTTAGAGCATGTAACATTTTCTCAAACATCTTCCGAGCCGAACATTCACCGTATGTACCACGGTTTTTTTAGTATACATCGCAGTACATCCCACCAGACCGCGTTCAACCTTTCTGAATGGTCGACCCTGAGGCGTGTTTGTAAAGAAAGTTACACGCCCTAAAAAGCATACCTTGAACGGTGACAGTAAAGGGCATACCTCGAACAATGAATGTAAATGTCATACCTGAAATTGTTACCGTAAATAAAAATGGTTAAAAGTGACTGTATAAGAGTTTATAGAATGTGTCTGTAAAGGGGGTACCTCGAACCGCAACTGGTCGAAGGCGCAGATAATGAAACTCCTTTTGAAGGGAAAAGGAGAGCCCTGAGGAGAGAGAGGAGAGAGGGGCTGGCAGCCCCCAAGCACCTACCTTGAACCATGATTGTTAAGGGCTTACCCCGAACCGTGACTGGTCGAAGGCGCAGATCGTGGGACTCCTTTTGAAGGAAGAAGGAGAGCCCCGAGGAGAGGGAGGAGAGAGGGGCCGCCAGGACGAGCTCCCTCTGAAAAAACGAGAGGAAGAGGGGTTGGGATCAGGGGGAAAAGGAGAGAGTCAGGGGGAAAGGAGAGAGTGAAGTGGTGAACAAGAGGCGTGAGAGAGGGACGAGAGAGGGGCTGCCAGGACGAGCTCCCTAAGAAAAACGGGAGGAAGAGGGGTTGGGATAGGGGGAAAACGGGGAGGGTCACGGGTAAAAGGAGCAAGTTAGGGGGGAAAGGAGAAAGTTAGGGGGAGAAGGAGAGAGTGAAGTGGTGAACAAGAGGCGTGAGAGAGGGACGAGAGAGGGGCTGCCAGGAGCCGGTCGCCTGTAAGAGCTTAAGAAAAGAGAGGAGGGACGGGCTGAGAGCAAGCACGAGCTCCAGGAGGAGAAGGGGACGAAAAAAAGAAGAGAGGAAAAAAGAAGAGAGGAAAAACGAAGAGAGGAAAAAAGTAGAGAGGAAAAAAGAAGAGGAAAAAGAAGAGAGGAAAAAGAAGAGAGGAAAAAAGAAGAGAGGAAAAAAGAAGAGAGGAAAAAAGAAGAGAGGAAAAAAGAAGAGAGGAAAAAGACGAGAGGAAAAAGACGAGAGGGAAAAGACGAGAGTACATGATGAAAAAAGAGAGGGGAGAGGAGCGAGAGAGGAGAGAGGGGGGAAGTGAGCGCCATCTCTCTGTGGGATAGCAGAGGATGAGGAGAGGATGCGGTGCGGGGTGGGGTGAGAGGTGGTGAAAGGTGGTGAGCGAAATGACTCATGAACAACTTCCAGGAGTAGAATGTAACACAACAAGGTAATCAAAAGCATCTCTTGAAAAGGCACAACAAACTGGTGGAGTCTACAAAACCAAGCAAACAGTGTACCTTGAAGCGCTTGCTGGTTTCAGAGTAGTATGTAGAGAGGATAACCAGCAGGTGCAGCGATCGTGATGCTGGTACGTGCAGGGGGGGGGAGGGATGGGGCGGGGGAGAGAGGGGAGGGGTGAGGGTAACGCACAAGAAAGAAATGCAGAAGATTTCGACTGGAAGGGAGAAACGTCCAAAGAAATGACTGCTTGCTGCTGCTATTAAGGGATGCCACTGCTTGAGGTGTCTGGGAAAAAAAGGAGAGAGGAAAAAAAACACCTTCTGAAGGAGCTGTTTGAGAATCTCCTCAAACTTGGGGTCCTTGCTGACCAGCTGCGAGGTGGAGTGGAGTGGAGCTGCCAACACTTGCAATGACCTCTCTCGCCCCATTTTCCCCTCCCCCCTTCCCCCTCTCCCCCCTTCCCCCCCTCCCCTCCTCCTTCCTTCCATGCCCCACACCCAAGGAACTTTTTGAGAATCTTTTTGAACTTGGGGTCTTTGTTGACTAGCTGGGAGGTGGAGCTGCACACATTCGAAATCTCCACTTCGCACCTTCTCTTCCCCCCCCCCCTCCTTTTCCTCCCTGCCTTCTTATTTCCGTGCCCTGGACTCACAGAGGAACTGTTTGAGGATTTCCTCGAACTTGGGGTCCTTGTTGACCAGCTGCGAGGTGGAGCTGCCCACATTCGATATAGCCACGTTCAGCACCTCGCCCCCCTTCTTGCCACGCACCCCTGCTCAGGGAATGGATGCAAAAGCTCACAATTGAATAACAGAGATTGAGAAGAAAGTATAGAAATATGAGAAGTTAGCAATATATGAGTTGCAGGTAAAGAACATACATCACTGAGTACACCTCAATATTAAAGACACCCTATCACCTGCAGAAGCACTCTCTAAATCTCCGTCAACCATCCTCTCACGATTTAGCTGAGAGTATGGTTGACTTGATTTGACACCATTGTGTGCAAGACGAGCCGGCATTGCTGCACTCTAAGCTGCCCCGTTTATGCCATGCAATGCCATAGGAGGCTGTGTCATGGCATACTGAATGCAATATGGTGTAACCACCAGGTTCCACGCATGCATGCATGCCATAGCATATGGCATGCCGCGCTCACCGGGCCCCATGGCATGCTGCACAATATCCGCTCTAAGGAGCTCCTCAGTTGTGAGAGACGCCTGGTTGTACTTCTTGTCTCGCACTGGGGGGGAGAGGGGAAGAACAGAAAGGGAGAGGGAGTTGAAAGAAGGGGTCGGCTAGAGGAAAAAAAACTCTTCCCTCACACCTGCCCTGAGCATGTATTACCCAAGCCTCTCATAGCACAGGCACATATTCCAGAGATGGAATGGAAGTATCTTCCGGACATATCCCCATAAAAAACTGTTTTCTCCAAACAAAAAGAAGATTTGCACGCATATCTCACATAAAATGTTTCTCCGCAGGCATTTAAAGCGTAGCGTGTGCACACTAAAACGATAGTATTTCGCTTACATATCTCGTAAAATATGTTTCTCCCCAGGCATCTCGATCCGACGGCCAGGAATGCTGCCATGCTGGCATCCACCTCGCTGCTCTGGCCGGGATCCAAGTTGTTGGTGCACGTGAGAATGGCTGCGAGCTGGGAGGGTGAGAGAGGAGGGTGGGTAGGGGTGGGTAGCGGTGGGAAGAGGTGGGAAGAGGTGGGAAGAGGTGGGAAGGTGGGAAGAGGTGGGAAGTGGTGAAAAGGGGTGGGAAGTGGTGGGAAGGGGTGGGAAGGAGCTCAGAAAAAGCCCCACAAGCACCTGTCAAAGCCGTGCTGGCAAACACCTCGCTGCTCTGTCCAGGATCCGGGTTGGTGGTGCATGTGAGAATGGCTACGAGAGTGGGAGAGTGGGAGAGAGGGAGGGGGTGGAGAGCAGTGCTGCAGTGGGAGGTCGCTGAGAATTGAGCCCGCTAGCACCCAACACAGCCAACTTGTGAGCGTTGACGTCGTAGGTGCAGCTTGGTGTGGATCTTTGGCTTCAGATTATAACAGAAACGCCCATGAGCACCCAGCACGGCCAAGCTGACTTTTGAGTCGACTCAAAAGATTATAACAGAAACGCCCATGAGCACCCAGCACGGCCAAGCTGTGAGCATTGACGTCCTAGGTGCTGGTAGGGACTGCTAGAGGAGGCTGAGGCGGGCAAGGTTTTGAGACGCTCCTATAAGGCGGGCAAGGTCGGGAGGAAAACGGCGTTTAGGAGGGTGCCATGGGTGAAGCACACTAGCGCAGAGGACAATGCGAACACCCATGGCAGTGACAAGGATCCGTGCAAGGTCAGGGGCGCATAAAGCTCACCAGCAAGCGAGCCAGCGCAGTGTTTAGGAGGAGGTGAGGAGCCTCCTCTGACAGCCTGCGAGCCAGCATGGTGGCGCAGCTGCTGCCCTGGTTGGAAGGGAGAGGTCGAGGGGGGGGGGGAAGAACAAGGGGGAGGAAGGGGCAGGGTTTCTTGACACAGCTCAACAACCAGAGCCTCCTCTGACAGCCTGCGAGCCAGCATGGTGGCGCAGCTGCTGCCCTGGTTGGAAGGGAGAGGTCGAGGGGGGGGGGGAAGAACAAGGGGGAGGAAGGGGCAGGGTTTCTTGACACAGCTCAACAACCAGAGCCTCCTCTGACAGCCTGCGAGCCAGCATGGTGGCGCAGCTGCTGCTGGCGAGACAGCCTGCCACGCAGCTGCTGCTGGCGGGAAGAGAGCGGTGGTTGGGAGGGTTGGGGAGAAGGGGAGGGGGGGCAGAACAAGGGGAAAGGGGCAGGGTGGGAAGGGGGGGGGGGGGGACAAGGGGAAAGGGTCAGGGTGGGGAGGAGGTGGGGGGGGAGGGGACAAGGGGAAATGGTCAGGGTGGGGAGGAGCGGAGGGGGGGAACAAGAGGAAAGGGCAGGGTGGGGAGGAGGGGGGGGGGGACAAGGGGAAAGGGGCAGGGTGGGGAGGAGGTGGGGGGGGTCAGAACAAGGAGAAAGGGGCAGGGGTTCTTGACACAGCCCAGCAGCCAGAAGCTCCTAGCATTCGATGAGAGGCAGCCAGCGCTGATGCCCCCATCCCATGGCTTTCGTCGTACCATGCACTTGAAAATAGCACGGATACAAGAGTTGCTTTGAGGCACCTTAAAAGGGGTACAAGGGGGAGGGACTTGCCTCTTCTGCTGTGCGAGGGAAGATGGGATGTGAGATGACTGATCCCTGCTCCCCACCCTCAACCCGGGAATAAGCGCATTTCAGATTCTTGATACGCGTGAAACATATAACAACAAACAACTATGTTAGCACCAACATATAACAACAAACAACTATGCTAGCACCAACATATAACAACAAACAACTATGCTAGCACCAACATATAACAACAAACAACTATGCTAGCACCAACATATAACAAGGTGGGATGTGAGATGAGATGACCAATCCCTGTTCCCCACCCTCAGCTGGGGAATATGAGCAAAGCCCTAAACACTTAGGTAAGTGCAACACAAAATAGACAGCAAGTCTCTTAACCTGCAAGGTGTGGAAGATGGGATGTGGAATTTTTCACCCCTGCTTCTCACCTTGAACCAAGCAACAACCTCGTGCTAGGTCCTTCGTACTTAGAAATGACAAAAGGAAAGGGAGTTGTAAAACACGCAGTGTGATGAACCAGGCCCAATCAGCGAATGGAGTGGCCTAAGAAATTTAGAATTCACTCATTGCGATTTCACTCACTGTTTCCCGGGGAATGATCTCAGCCACTGCCTTCTCCATGCCCTGTTAGCACAAGGGGTGAGGCACGGTGGAGAGAGATGAAGAGAACTGAAGAGGAGTGCCGAGAGTTGACAAGTGGTGGAGAGAGGTGGCGGGGCGAAATGAGGTAAAGGGAGGTGAAGAGATGAAGAGAGGTGACGAGGAGTGGAGAGGTGTGAAATGCGTGGGAAAAGGCCTCCGCAGCCCACCTGTAATCCATCTACGACTCCAGCAGTAGTGGAACACAAGGGGAGATAGACGAGAGGGAGGATTGTGTGGTGAGGCAAGGGGAGGGAGGGATGGGGCCGAACAGGGGGAAAGATGAAGCTAGAGCAGCAGGCAGATTGTTTTTGAGGCGCCAAAAAAAGGGAACCAAGAGAGGGAGATTGGTGTGTGGGGCAGTGGGAGGGAGGGGTGGGGCCAAATACGGGAAAAGATAAGCTAACGCAGCGGGCAGCTTGTTGTTTGTAGTCATGCAGCACGACTTGCACTTGACCCTCTCCATGCACATCAGGCGTAACCCTTGGCATGTATAGTGTAACTCTGCATTTTTTAGGTGCCTCGTTTTGAGGCTCCTAACACAGCATGCACTTGACCCTCCCCCATGCATCCAACCAACACTTCGCATCTACAGTGCACCTCTACAGAAGCGGGCATGTGAGTGCACCTCCACAGAAGCGGGCATATGAGTGCACCTCCACAGAAGCGGGCATGTGAGTGCACCTCCACAGAAGCGGGCATATGAGTGCACCTCTACAGAAGTGGGCATATGAGTGCACCTCCACAGAAGCGGGCATGTGAGTGCATCTCCACAGAAGCGAGCATGTGAGTGCACCTCTACAGAAGCGGGCATATGAGTGCACCTCTACAGAAGCGGGCATATGAGTGCACCTCTACAGAAGCGGGCATATGAGTGCACCTCTACAAAAGTGGGCATGTGAGTGCACCTCTATAGAAGTGGGCATGTGAGTGCACCTCTACAGAAGCGGGCATCTTGTTGTGGCCGTACAGCACCATTTGCACCCGGCCCTCCCCGTGCAGCTTGCGCAGATCCACCTGATGGTAGGGAGGGGTGGATGGAGAGGGGTGGATGGAGAGGGGTGGATGGATAGGGGTGGATGGAGAGGGTACGGTGGGGGAAATCAGCGTGCACCCGGCCCCTCCCCGTGCAGCTTGCGCAGGTCCACCTGATGGGAAGGGCGGGTGCAGAGCGGGTGGGGGGGTGGGGCATGCAGGGCAGGGGTTTGGCAAGGTGGGGAACAACCGGTCAGACAGCACAGCTCACACGACTTCAGCGGGCAACCCCCCGTGCAGCTTGCAGATCCACCTGAGAGAAAGGGGCGGGTGCAGAGAGGGTGGGGGGGCATGCAGGGCAGGGATTTGGCAAGGTGGGAGCAGCCAGACAGACAGCACAGCTCACACGACTTCAGTCGGCCGTACCCCCCGTGCCACTCGCCTAGATCAACCTGATGGATGCATGGGGTGGATGAGGGGGTGGGGGCGCACGGGTGTTTGGCAAGATGGGAGCAACCAGCCCCTCACATGACAGCACAGTCCCTCGCATGACAGCACAGTCCCTCGCATGACAGCACAGTCCCTCACATGACAGCACAGTCCCTCACATGACAGCACAGTCCCTCACATGACAGCACAGTCCCTCACATGACAGCACAGTCCCTCACATGACAGCACAGTCCCTCACATGACAGCACAGTCCCTCGCATGACAGCACAGTCCCTCGCATGACAGCACAGTCCCTCACATGACAGCACAGTCCCTCACATGACAGCACAGTCCCTCACATGACAGCACAGTCCCTCACATGACAGCACAGTCCCTCGCATGACAGCACAGTCCCTCGCATGACAGCACAGTCCCTCACATGACAGCACAGTCCCTCACATGACAGCACAGTCCCTCACATGACAGCACAGTCCCTCACATGACTGCACAGTCCCTCACATGACAGCACAGTCCCTCACATGACAGCACAGTCCCTCACATGACTGCACAGTCCCTCACATGACAGCACAGTCCCTCACATGACAGCACAGTCCCTCACATGACAGCACAGTCCCTCACATGACAGCACAGTCCCTCACATGACAGCACAGTCCCTCACATGACAGCACAATCCCCCACATGACAGCACAGTCCCCCACATGACAGCACAGTCCCCCCATGACAGCACAGTCCCCCACATGACAGCACAGTCCCCCATGCCGCTTGCGCAGATCAACCTGATGGGTGCATGGGGTGGATGGGGTGGTTAAAAACAAGGCGGTTTGGCAAGATGGGAGCAACATCGGCCCTCTCCCCCGTGCAGCCTGTGCAGATCCACCTGATGGATGCATGGGGTGGATGCAGGGGGAAGGGTGCGGGCATGTAGGCGAGAGGGAATGCGGGGGGTAAACAGGCGTGCAGCAACACTTGCACGATTTGGACAACTTGCACCTGGCCCACCCCTCTGTGCACCTTGCGCAGAGCAACCTGATGGATGCATGGGGTGGATGGGGGGGGAGGGCGGCGGCATGCAGCTGAGAGGGAACGTGGGGGAAAACAGACGCACATCACAACCTGCACCACCTGCACGTCGTTCACCAGGTGCACCAGGCCTCACGATGCAGCATGGCCCCATGGCTTGCAGCATCGGCGCACCTCCAGTGATACCTGATGGTAACCTGGTAACAAGAGCCTCTCACCTCGTCGAGGAAGAGGAGCTCCTGCGTGTCAACGCCCATAGCTTGCAGCAGCCATGCGGCGTCGGTGCACTGAAGAGCTGCTTGCCCCAGTCGTACCTGATGGTAACCTGGTAAAAAGAGCCTCTCACCTCGTCGAGGAAGAGGAGCTCCTGCGTGTCAACGCCCATAGCTTGCAGGAGCCATGCGGCGTCGGTGCGCAGGTGGAAGTCCGCCCGGCTTGTGTGCACCAGAGGAAACAGACTTGCCCCATTGATACCTGATGGTAACCAGGTTACAGACGCCTCATGGAGGACTGCCCTGCTCGTGCGCATTGATACCTCGTGGTAACCTGGTAACAATGCTCTCTCACCTCGTCGAGGAAGAGGAGCGCCTGGGTGTCAACGCCCATGGCTTGCAGCAGCCATGCAGCATTGGAGCCCAGGTGGAAGTCCGCCCTGCTCGTGTGCACCAGAGGAAGCAGACCTGCCCCATTGATACCTGATGGTAACCTGGTAACAACGCTCTCTCACCTCGTCTAGAAAGAGGAGCGCCTGCGTGTCAACGCCCATGGCTTGCAGCAGCCATGCGGCGTCGGTGCGCAGGTGGAAGTCCGCCCTGCTCGTGTGCACCAGAGGAAGCAGACAAAGCCCCTCCGCCCGTGCGCTGGGAGGCTCCGATTGGTCGAGGAAGAAGGCATACACGATGGCTGACACGATGGCATCCAGGTCTTGTGGGGGAGAAAGAGAGGGGGGGGGTGGGAGGATGAGAGAGAATGAGGAGAATTATGGAGGAGTGGAGGATTGGTGGAGGAAGAAGGCATAGACGATGGCTGACACGATGGCATCCAGGTCTGCATGATGAGGATGACTCTGAGGGAGGATGTGGGGAGATGGGAGGGGGGAGGAGAGGGGGCGATGGGAGTGTGAGGGAGGAGAGGGGGCGATGGGAGTGTGAGGGAGGATGAGGGATGCTATGGGACGGGAGGGAGTGGAGGATTGGTCGAGGAAGAGGGCCTAGATGATGCCTGAGACCATTGTGCCTAGGTCTGCAGGATGTGGGGGGGGGGGGGGGAGAGGGGGATGAAATATTTGAGAAGTCTGAAAGACGCCTCAGAGAGTGGGGAGTGCGAGAGGACGAAGAGTTTTGAGGCGCCTCAAAACGAGTGGGGAGTGCGAGAGGACGAAGAGTTTTGAGGCGCCTCAAAACGAGTGGGGAGTGCGAGAGGACGAAGAGTTTTGAGGCGCCTCAAAACGAGTGGGGAGTGCGAGAGGACGAAGAGTTTTGAGGCGCCTCAAAACGAGTGGGGAGTGCGAGAGGACGAAGAGTTTTGAGGCGCCTCAAAACGAGTGGGGAGTGCGAGAGGACGAAGAGTTTTGAGGCGCCTCAAAACGAGTGGGGAGTGCGAGAGGACGAAGAGTTTTGAGGCGCCTCAAAACGAGTGGGGAGTGCGAGAGGACGAAGAGTTTTGAGGCGCCTCAAAACGAGTGGGGAGTGAGAGTGGATGAATTTTTGAGGCGCCTCGAAAGACGCCTCAGAGAGTGGGGAGTGAGAGAGGATGAAGACAACGACGGAGGGGTGGTTGAGGAAGAAGGCATCTACGATGGCTCAGACCATTGTGTCTAGGCCTGCAGGATGCGCGGAGGGGGAGGGGGAGCGGGGGGAACGGGGGGAGGACGGGGGAGATTGAGGAAGGAGGGGGAAGGGTGAAGGAGTAATGAGGGAGGAGTGGAGGATACGGGAATAGGAGAGAGTGAAGTATTGGGGAAGTGGGAAACAGGAGAGGCGGAGTGGCGAGGCGACACGGAACGAGGAGGAACGAGGAGGAACGAGGAGGAACGAGGAGGAACGAGGAGGAACGAGGAGGAACGAGGAGGAACGAGGAGGAACGAGGAGGAACGAGGAGGAAGAAGGGGAACTATGGGGGAGTAATGGCGGGTGGATTGCTGATACAGGGAGATGCATCAGGTGATGACTCGGATAGACGAGCGGGAAAAGGAGGATTAGCCACCCTCCCATTCCCCTCCCTCTCTCCCTCCCTCCCTCCCTCCCTCCCCACCACCCCACCTCCCCCACTCTTCCCCTCTCTCCTCCATTCCCTCCTCATCTCACCTGCGTGCTCGCTGCCAATCACCACCTTAAACAGCCACCGAACCGGCTCATCAGCCCCACTCCCGAACCTCCCGTCCAGCTCCGGTGCGGGCACCGAACCTCCATCCCCCGTGCCTCCCTCTGCACCAGTATCTGTCAGCGACGGCGCGACAGAGTCCATGCAGCGTCGCCCACGTCGCAGAAATTCGTTGATTTCGTCAACGCCTGGGCAGGGTTCTGCGGCTGCTCCGTTTCCCGAAACATTGCCAGCGCTGGGATTCGAACCCGCGGGCACTGCGGCGTCAGCAGCGTCTAGCAAGCGCTCGCGAGCGACGTTGGCGTAGAAGGCAGCCGCGGATCCGATCAGCTTGGATGACGCAGCGACGTCGGCGGCCTGATAGTCAAAGTAGGGTAGGTAGGGAAAAGGGAACTACCCATGCGTGTTTTTCAGTCGACTCAAAGACATTGGCGTACTAGGCAGCCGCGGATCCGATCAGCTTGGCGGATGCAGGACCGTCGGCGGCCTAATGATTCAAATAGGAGGGATCGGAAGGAAATGTAGGCGGTGAGCGAGGATCGGTGGCCGAGGAAAGGGAGGGTGAATCACTGCAGGGGGGAGGTAATCAGCGTACGGGAGTGAGCTGAGTTGGTTCTTGAGAATTCTTGATAACGAACTCAAATCACTGCAGGGTAGACGACCATCAGGGACGGGAATGAGAGTCAGATCGTAAGAAGGATGGTGGTGGTGATCGATGGATGAAAAGGAAGTCGACCTGTCGAGGAAACGGCATAACGCCAGACCGACGTAACAACGGAATCAGTTACTTCCTAACCTGGAATTCGGCATCCTTGTAGAATGCCACAGCTCCTCCCAGGCCCTTGAGCGGATCGGAGCTCGTCGGAATCGGCGGTTCTTCCTTGGCTGGCCACACGTGACTGTTAGTAATCTCGTTTTGAGTCGACTCAAAACGAAATTACTAACACACTGACTGACCACAAGCGAATGCCAGCTGGTGACATGGGGAGAGGAGGCGACGGAGGAAGAGAAACTAACCTGCGGAGCAGCATCCTCGTAATATGCGACGGCTCCTCCCAGGCCCTTGAGCGGATCGAAGCTCAAAGGCCTGGGAGGAGCGGATGAGTGCCAGCTGGTGACGTGGAGAGAGGAAGTGACAGCGGAAGGGAAACTAACCTGCGGTGCAGCATCCTTGTAATATGCGACGGCTCCTCCCAGCCCCTTAAGCGGATCGAAGCTCTTGGGAATAGGTGGTTCTTCCTTGACCGGCGGCTTCGATGCGATCCACGAAAACATGGCGGGTGGATGGATGAAACGTTGAACGGACGAATGGGAGGACGAATGGGAGGACGAATGGGAGGACACGGTCTTGAGAGAACAGACGAATGCGTTTTTTGAGACGTCTGAAAAGTAGGTTTGAGGAATCCCAAGGTCAAATGAACGTCAGGGCCTGCGAGATCAGGAATGCTATGGCGGCCGTGTAAGGTAGGCAATGACGTCGCTCAGACGCCAACTTCGTGCTACAGAGTGGAATTCCGAATGCAATGAGCCGGGTTTGCCTCCAACCCTCCGCTTCGTTCGTACACTGTATTGTTCGCTTGATGATGTGATGTGATGTGATTAGGGCGTGTCCAGCGATTTATCCAACTGGCATAGCAGGTACGAAATCAGGGTATGGTAACCCGAAATTCCGTGTCCATTCGGGCTCACTGGAAAAAACGATCGGTACAGAGACACACGTGCTGGACACACGCGTTCGGAGGAATTTGACAGGAGACGAAGTGACCAGGATGCGAGGAGAAAGGATGTGACAGAGGAGGAGAGGACACGGCGGTGCAGAGTGATCGGGTTCGGTACAGGAAGGTCAGGTCTGACAATGTTGAGGTATCCCCAAGCGCCATCAGAAAACGCGAGAGACTGAATGAATCCGAGTGGAGTGGTATTGTCACCTCGAGCCTGTCAGAGAATCAAAATCTCTGCCTCTGACTGACTGTTGGGAGCAAGGTGTGACTGAAACAAAGCATATAACTGTACACAATTAGTGAATAGGAATGATTCAATAAAAGCCTAGAAACTCAATCCATGCTCAGCTATTCGGCAAACAAGAGGAGAACACGTGCTCAGTTCCCGCTCTGCTGCTTCCTCTGCTGCTCCTGCCACCGTTGCTGCTGCTGCTGCTGCTCCTGCTAATGCTGTTCGTTCACAACGCGTTCCTGCTCCCGTCCTGCCCCTGCCCCTCAGGTGCCGGTGCATCTATAGCAGCAGTGCTGTACGCCTCCCGTCTTGGCAATCACAACAACTACTACTGCCGCTGCTCCTGCTCCTTCCCGTCCTCCTGCTGCACCTCAGGTGCCGGTGCATCTACTGCAGCAACAGCCTGGCGGCGGTAGGGTCGGATGCTCTCAACTAGATACGCCAGGCCCTTCACCACGTGCTTGCGGCTGTATGGCTCGCCTGCCTTGGCCAGCGCTGCTACTACTGTTGCTCATGCTGCTGCTCCTTCCCGTCTTGCTGTTTGGTATCCTCAGCAGTAGCAGCAGCAAGGCGGCGGTAAGGTCGGATGCTCTCCACTAGATACGCCAGGCCCTTCACCACGTGCTTGCGGCTGTATGGCTCCCCTGTTTTAGCCAAGGCTCTGCCCCGCCCATCCAGCAGCACGTAGCACGGCACGTACTTGATGCTGTAGTGGCCCACCTGTGGATGGAAACAGAGATGTTTATACAGGGGATAAGGCGAATAAGAACTCTACAGAAGAAACAACAGAAGGCTCTGCCCCGCCCATCCAGCAGCACATAGCACGGCACATGCTTGATGCTGTAGCGGCCCATCGGGCAGCCATCTGCTGTTCTCCGCGTTAGCCACCTAAGCCCGGCTCACACTTCCTTGCCCCTTTATCGCTGTCCACCTGGTTCCTAACCCCCGCATACCTCGGGCAGCCATCTGCTGTTCTCCACGTCAGCTGGGACCACGTTGAGCCAGTCAGCGTTGCGTCGCGCCAGCTCAGCGGTGAGCTGGCTGAGCGACCGGCAGAGGCGGCAGCGGCGGGCGTAGAACTGAATGAGGGTGGCCCTCTTTCCACTGGCCAGTGCTGCTGCCAGCTGCCTCTCCTCTGCGTCAGGCGCCTGGCGGGGGTGGAGGAACACAGACAAAGAGGACAGGGAATGGCACAACAGCAGCGGTGAGCTTTCTGAGCGACCGATTGAGGCAGAAAATCGGCAGCGGCGGGCGTAGAACAGAATGAGGGTGGCGCGTTTGCCACTGGCTAGCGCTGCTGCAAGCTGCCTCTCCTCTGCATCAGCAGAATTCTGGAAATAGCGGGAAGCGAAGGCAATAGAAAAGGGAATATGGCAGCGCTGGGCGTAGAAGTGAATTAGAATGGCGTGTTTTCCGCAAGCCAGCGCTGCTGCTAACTGCCTGTCCCCTGTGCCTGGTGCCAGAGGGGGCATACAGATAAAGAAAAATGGGTAATCGGCCCAACACACATAGCGGCAAAGGCCAGCGTACAACTGAATGAGGGTGGCTCTCTTGCCGCTAGCCAGGACTGCTGCTAGCTGCCTGTCTGCTGTATCCTATCCGGTGCCTGGGGGAGGGAGCATACTAGAACTGGATAAGAGTGACCCGCTGCATGCCCTCTGTAAGAAAACACCACTTGGTGGTAGTTTTAGCCACCTGGGAGCATACTAGAACTGGATAAGAGTGACCCGCTGCATGCCCTCTGTATCCAGCGCCAGGGGGGGGACATACAGATAAAGAGAAGTGACCTAGTTGCAGAGAACGGAACAAAAAGGTGGAAAGGTCTACGTCTTCCCCAACAAGAGCAGATGGCAAGCTGCCCTTGTGGAAGATTTTTTAGAATTCTCAAAAGTCTTCCCCAATGAGAGCAGGCGGCAAGCTGCCCTTTCCCTAACCTCTCCTCCCTGCTCCATCCCCCCTCCAATGTACCCTTCCGCACCTAACGTCTCGCCTGACCGTCTCACGTAAACAAGTGACGGCAGGCTGCTCTTTCCCTGGCCCATCTTGCCCGCATCTGCTACCCCAGAGCCATCATCATCCTTCCCCTTCCACAACCCCTTGGCGTCTTCCACAGACCCTTGACAGTTCGCCCGACACCTGCCCTGCAATGCACATGCAGAGCGCCTCACCTGAATGCAGAGCCATCGTCTTCCACAGGTCTTGACGGCCCTGCAATGCACATGCAGACCGTCTCACCCGAACAAGAGACACCACGCTCCCTGGCTTTCCCTGGCCGATCTTGCCCGCATCTGCGGCCCCCGTGCCATCATCCTTCCCCTTCCACAGCCCCTTCGCGTCTTCCACAGCACACCTAACGTCCCGGCTGACCGCCTCACCTTCGCAAGCGACGGCAGGCTGCCTGGCTTTCCCTGGTCTGTCTTGCCCGTATCTGCCGCCCCCGTGCCATCGTCTTCCCCCTTCCCCCCTCCAATACACACGTAACGTCCCGACTGACCGTCTCACCTGCACAAGCGACGGCAGGCTGCCCTTCGTTCGGCCTGTCCTGCCCGCATCTGCCGCCCCCGCGCCATCATCATCTTTCCCCTTCCACAGCCCCTTCACTGTTCGCCCGAGCTCTGCCACCTTCCTCGAAGCTTCCCTCAATGGCACCTGCCACGCTGGCACGCTAGACTCGCCGCTGCCTACTCGCCCAACCGAGCCGCTTCCAGCTCCGTCCACGTCCGCCGCGCCGCCATGCCGCCCATCCGCAAGATGAGGTGACGTGGCCAACACGGGTTGGCTTCCTCGCGATTGGCTTCCTCCGCCGTGCGATTCGGTGTCCTGAATTCCCCCGGTTCCCGTGGCGGAAACTACTACAGCGGGAGGGGGCTCTATACGCGCTAGGGGCAGACGCGATAGGAGCAGCCGCATCCGTTTCGCTCCGACGTGCGCTGCCACTGCCGCTGCCTTAGATTCTCCGCACTCTCCATGACTTTTGAGGCGCCTCAAAATTCGTTCTCCGCACTCTCCATGGCCTCCTAACCCTAACCGGTGGCTTGCAGCCATTGATAACCGCTGTCCTAACCGCATGATGCCGTCCCCAGACACGCCGTCCCCAGATGCGCACTCAGGCGCTGCCAGCCTTCCGCCTTCCGCCCCCCTTCCGCCTTGCGCCAGCCTTCCGCCTTCCGCTCGCGTGCTGCGCTCCTCCGCGTTCCAGGAAGGCGGAACGAAGCTCCGGAGCCGATCACGAACCCCCTTCCCCCACCCGTCAACCCTCCCACCCATAAACCCTTCCGCCTGGCCCCGAGCGTCCCCCCACCGCTCCAGAATTTCCCGATCTAAGAACCCCTTCCCCCACCGCTCCACGTTCCCCGCGCCATCGCTCCAAATTGCCCCCAGATTCGCTGCGGGAGACGACTCCTGACCCGCTGTGTTTGGCGGAGCCATGGCTCGAGCGTCTGGGGCGCAGGTGCTGCCAGATATGCGCCCGCGAGGTGCGCGAACGAGACCTTAGATCTCCACCGTATTTTGAGTCGACTCGAAATACACCAGGCGCGGGCCGGTATCCGCCTGTGAGGTGGGCGTCGAGGGTTTAGGTGTCAACGGCAGACTGCAATGCCAACCTTCCCCTAGTCACCGTAAAGAGAGCCGTGAATCCCACTGAACCGAGCTGAGACCCTTCGAACATACACGTAAAACTGGAGAGGGAATCTGATTGAGGTTCTTTTTCTCTGCTGCCAAGCCATTTTGCTGTGTTGTGGTGCGCAGGTAACTGCTTGACCTGAGTGTTGTTTTCAGTCACCAAATTGTCGGCACCAGTGATTGACCTCGAACCTCAGGCGAACTTAGTTCGAACCTACGCAAGCCCGAAGTTGCCGAGCCGAACCCGACCGTTTTTTCGCGACACCCCTCGACACAGGGAAACCGTATTGACGAACGGAGCAGCCAGAAAGGCGTCTCCACGATCTCTTCGTCAAATTCGACGACGTAACAATGCGGGCTATAGCCTTCGTGAATTTAATGAAGCTACGGTAGTGTTTCCTGAGAAGCACACTTATCAGCCCAACCTAGGGTTAAAGTATTTCAGTATAAACTTCTCCTGAAATTGAAGCTACACCTTTCTTTATTTATTGTCTCATCCAAAACAGTTTAAATTTCAATACCACCTACCAGGTTCTCAGGATGACTCGCGTTGACACTCAACCTGATTGGCTGCAGTCTGAACGAAATCGAACAAACAATTCAAATTTCGACAATTTCGAGTTTCAGAGCTGGGAGGTCGCGCAGGCAACTTATCTAAAGCATGAGCGAGACATTGTAACCAAGTGTCAGTGTTTACTGCGGGTTTTACCCTTATATGTCCCGTTTGCCCGTGCTTTATCCTTTCCTGCTTACAGGCTCGAAGTTGCGTACAAAAAAGCTAAGACTGGATAGGAGAAAGGTGTATTTCCTTCTGAATTTTACCCTAGTAGGTAGTTAGACCCGGAACACAACCCCAGCCGCTCCGTCGAAGTCAGGTTCGTTCCGTCACGAACCCGCGTTGAATAAAGGGAGCCTTGCCCAACAGGGAGAATAAAGAGTACTGTAGTAGACGGGAAGGGGAAACGAATTAGGGTTCGCGGGTTTCGGGGAATTGACCATTGGTGACTGACCAAATCATTCACGGACTAGGAAGCCCTTATTGCTTGAGCTAGTCGCTTGAGAGTGATAGCTTGAGACTCTGGCTCTCGCAACGCGTCTGTCGAATTGTAGTAGAACTGACCACAATCGCGGCCGCCTAGAGTAGAAGCATAATCGCTAATTTTAGAACGTCCCGAGACTCGAGGATGGTCGGAGAACGTCCTCAGAGAGATTATCATGGTGACGTGGAGTCGACCGAAGAGTCACTCTAACGGAATCTGCTTTTGAGTCGACTCAAAAGAGGAGTCACTCTAACGGACTCCGGCCCGGCCTCTGCCCTGGCATAGGTTTCGTCGAGACTGATCTCATAAGCATAATAAACATAAAATCCATGGCGGCAGCAAGCAGGCGATTTTTAGTCGACTCAAAAACCCTCTAACGGTCTCGTCTGGATTGATCTCATCGACATAGTAATATAAAGTCCATGGCGACAGCAAGCAGGCGGAATTCGCCCTCCGCGCGTCGCGGCGTTTGAGCCGGCTGAGAAGACTTCTCGGCGGTAGGACCCGTTGATCGCAGCGCCATTACGCGGCGGCAGAACCCGTTTAAGCCAGCTGAGTAGATCATGGAGGCAGCGGGCACGCGCAACCGCTCCTCCGCGCGGCACGGCGACCAATAGAGCAGGTCACCTTTATTGCTCTGCTAGTATTTCTCGTGACAAGTTTCCCCGTTACAATCCGCTGAGTAGATCATGGAGGCAGCGGGCACGCGCAACCGTTCCTCCGCGCGGCACGGCGCGGCGGTCGCGTTCAGCGGGAGCGTGCGGCGGTGGCGGAAGCAGTGGACGGCTGTGGGGCCCACAAGACGACTGCTCGTCCTCAGATGGACGCCACAGCCTCCCAGACCGTCTGGTGAGTGTCAGTGTCACGAATCGCTCGTATCAATGCGGTAGTACCGCCCTCGGCCTTCATCGGCCGCGTTCAGCAGGAGCGTGCGGCGGTGGCGGAAACAGTGGACGGCGATGGGGCCTACGAGACGGCTGCTGGTGCTCAGATGGACGCCGCAACCTTCGAGACCGTCTGGTGAGTGCCAACGCCGTTTGAGATGTCGCAGCTAGCACCAAGTGCTAAGGTGGCATTACTCAGCGGGAGCTGTGGGGCGCCCACGAGGCGGCTGCTCGTCCACTGATGGACGTTGCAGCCTCCCAAACCCAAACTAACAGGCGAGAGCCCTTTTGGTAACACCACTACTGGTGGGAGGTAACCTTCAGCGGGAGCGCATGCTGGCGGCGGAAGCAGTGGAGCGCCGTGGGCTCCACCCCACTAGACGGATGCTGGTTCTCATATGTGGCATCACCCTTTGTGGCATCTCCCTTTGTGTCATCCCACTTTGTGTCATCCCACTTTGTATCATCCCACTTTGTGTCATCCCACTTTGTGTCATCCAACTTTGTGTCATCCCACTTTGTGTCATCCAACTTTGTGTCATCCCACTTTGTGTCATCCCACTTTGTATCATCCCACTTTGTGTCATCCCACTTTGTGTCATCCCACTTTGTGTCATCCCACTTTGTGTCATCCCACTACTCTATTCCATCCAACTATCTTCCAGATTCAGACTGCCTTGCCATTCGTCGCAAGCCAAGGTACATTCCGGTAAGTAAGCACCTCTCTAAAAGTGTACCTCAATGCAAGTCGAAGTTCATTTCGGTAAGCACCTCTCCAGAAAGCACCTCTCTGCCCTTGTCGATTTCAAGTGCTCTTCCCAGCCATTCATTCCAGCCTTCTTCCACCATGGCCGTTGATCACACCACCGACAGACTGCCGTGCCATTCGTCGCAAGCCAAAGTACATTCCCGTAACTGTAAGCATATTGTATATTCACGCCTTATCGGGTTATTGTGAGGTAGTGTGTGAATATGCTGAATGTTTGCATCCGTCATTCGACGAGGAAGAGGAAGAGGAAGAGGAGGAGCAGCAGTGCCTTCTCAAGGGAAGAGGTGGAGTAATCACGCACGGAGCGTGCTCAACTGGAAGAAAATGCAAAGTTTGCCAAGCAGCAGGTGCCGACCCTTGAGAGGACGCTGCTGCTCTTTCCTGGAAGCCACGATTCGTTCAATTGGAAGCCACAGCAGGACGGAGCAGCAGCGTCCTCTCAAGGGCCTGCGCCTGCTGCTCCTCAAACTTTGCCGTGGCTTCCAATCGAGCATGCTTCGTGCGCGACTCCTCCACCTCTTTCCTGTGAACGCTTGATGACGGATGCAAACATTCAGCATATTCTCCCAACCTCAAGTCGTCCTCCGAACGAGAGATTTTTTAGAATTTCAAAAATTCCTCCCAATCCCAATCCTCTCTCCATGTCCTCAAGAAAATCCGACTGTATGCCTTGCAGTCGCCCTGGGGTCAAGAGTTGATGCAACTCTTGCAAAGAGTATCTTCTTCTGCTGTGCCTTACTCTGTGACTCATGCATGCTTATCCCACTCTGTCTTGTCCTACATTTGCATTTTCCTCCTAACTCCACAACTCTCTCTGTGTCTCAGGAGGTTCGGCTGCACGCCTTGCAGTCGCCTGGGGGTCAAAGATTTGACGTTTCTCTAGCCAAGTCCCAAACACAGGCACCGGGGCAGGGAGGTCTGGGTGGGGCTGGGGGCGGGGGGGCTGGTGGGAAGGGGGATGGAGATGGGGAGGCGGAGGATGAGGAGAATGGGGGTAGGGTTGACATGGCTATAGATGTCGAAAAGGGGAATGGAGGAGGGGAAGAGGGGAAGGGAGAAGAGGAAGGAGGAGAGGAGGAAGAGGAGGTTGAGGAGGAGGAAGAGGAAGAGGAGGAGGAGGGAGGGGAGGAGGAGCAGGAGGGGGAGGAGGGAGGTGGGGATGAAGGGGAAGAGGAGGTGGGGGAAGATGAGGAGGATGAGGGAGGGGGGGGTGAGGAGCAGGAAGGGGAAGAGGAGGAGGAGGAGGTGGAGGAGGAGGAGGAGGAGGAGTTGGGAGTGGAGGGTGCAACCCCTATGATTGACGATACTGAAGCTGAAGAGGAGGCAGAGGAAGTGGAGGAGGAAGATGAGGGTGGAGATGAGGGGGAGGAGAATGAGGGGGGAGAGGAGGGGAATGTGGGTGAGGGGGAGGAAGGGGGGGAAGGAGGAGAGGGGAGAGGGGGTAGGGGAGAAGGGGATGAGGGAGATGGGATTGGAGTGGAGGAAGAAGAAGAGGCAGAGGAGGAGGAGGAGGATGTTGATGAGGAGGAAGAAGTGGAGGGGGGTCCACAAAAGGGGGTGGAGGAGGAGGAAGAGGAGGAGGAAGAGGTGGAGGAAGAGGAGGAGGAAGAGGAGGAGGAAGAGGAGGAGGAAGAGGAGGAGGAACAAACAGTTGATGCTGGATTGGGGGAGGCTGAAGAAGGGGGGGGTGATCAGTATGAGGGAGAGGATGGTGGGGACCAAGAGGGGGAGGGGGAGGAGGAAGAAGAGGGAGTGGGAGAGGAGGATGAGGGGGAGGGAGAGGAGGGAGATGGGGAAGAGGAGGGGGAGGGGAACTTGCATGAGCAAGGAGGGGCAGAGTATGGGGGGGGTGATGATAGGGATGGTGGTAGCGGTGGTGATGATGGTGATGATGGTGATGATGGTGATGATGGTGATGATGGTGATGATGGTGATGATGGTGGTGGTGAGGATGGGGATGAGGATGATGGCGAGGAAATGGACGCTGAAGATGGGGATAGCTAGATTGAAACTTGGAAAGCATTTTTCGAATTTCTAGAAAAGGCTGGTTGATTGCTTGATTGAAGTGTTTTGTGCATGGTCTTGTCGAACGAGCTAAAAACTTGGGAGATCCTGCCACATTACACTTGATTATAGGAAGTGGGCAAGTAACTTTACACTAGAAAATGTAGATACGTACCACACATCCAAACAAATTTGGCAGATAAAATATAACAATGTATGAATACTGTACATATGGCAACATTGGCTTGGCATACTGTACCCCAATACACGGTGAAGTGGAACTGGGACAAAAACCCACTGTAGATGGTTCTCAGTTCCAATAGCCCATGTTTCGAGCACCACCACCGCCAGCACCTTGGCCAATCTCAGCCGTCCGTTGTGGAGCCTGCAATCTCGACCGTCGCTGCACAGCCCTCTCCTGGAGCTCCATCTTGGATGCAATCAACGACTCTCGTTCCCTCTGATACACCATTCCCCCATCCGCACCGTTCATTCCTCCACCCTCTCTTCCCACTCCCACCCCTGCCCCTGCTGCTGCCAAAGCTGCGGCCTTGGCTCGGCGCCGCTCTGCCCGCTCCTCCTCCCGAGCCTCCCGAGCCGCCTCAGCACGGCCCACCACAGCAGCAGCTCCAGCGGACGTTGCTGCCAGCGCTCGCTGCGACGCTGCCGCTGCGGCAGCTGCTGCTGCCGCGGCAGCTGCTGCTGCCGAAACCGCTTGCCCTGCAACCAGCCTAGGTGGCGATGCTCCTTGGTAGCCTCCCTGGTAGCCTCCCTGGTACCCTTTCCCCCCCATCCCTCCTCCTCCTCCTCCTCCCCCCCCCCCCCTCCTCCCCCTCCCCTTCGGTCCAGATCCCTTCCTACAGCGGATGTGGTCCGAGAAGTGTGGCTCTCGCTCCACCTTCCCCCCCACCTGTGCTCGTGCCCGCTCTGGGATACGGGCTCTGCCCATATCGACTCACAAACCCCCCATCCCTCAAGTTCAACCCTCCCAACCCAGCCCCCACACTCCCCTTGAGCATGGATGAGGTGATAGATTCCCCACCCCCTTCCCTGGAGCTCCCCCCCGGCATACTCTGCCCGATTCCCGAGCCTCCACCAGTTCCCAGACCTATGCCGAACCTGCCGCGGCTCCGGGCGTCCGTGCTCTCGCTCTCGCTGTAGCTCTCCCCGCCGAACCTGCTCTCGCTGGTAACCGCACCGGCAAGGAACTCCGGGCGGCGCTGAGGGGCAACTATGGCTGCTACAGTGCCCCGGCCCCCTGCTCCTGATCCTCCTCCTCCTCCTCCTGCTGCTGCTCCCCCGCCTCCTCTTCCTCTGTCCCCTACCCCTCCTATTCCATGGAACCCATTTCTTTCTTGCCCCCCCCTCCTCCTCCTCCTCCTCCTACCCTTGCTGCAGCCAAACCAGCAGCACTTGGTGCACCAGCACTAAACCCCATCGCTCCCACACCGCCAGCACTTAGCCCACCACCTCCACCAGCGCCACCAGCACCAGCCATACCACCCCCTAGACTCCTTCCCATCCCACCTGCTGCCAGCACCTGCTGCTGCTGTTGCTGCAGCTGCTGCCGCTGTTGCTGCAACTGCTGCTGCTGCTGCAGGTTCTGCTGCTGCTGCTGCCGTGCTTGTATTTGCGCCTGTGTCTGCGCCAGCAGCATCTGCTGCTGCTGGATTAAGTACTGCAGCTGCTGCGCTTGAGTTGCGCCAGCAGGGGGGGGAGGGATCATATTTCCACCTGAAACTCCACCTGAAATTCCACCTGATGGTCCTCCTGCTACCCCACCTGCCATCTGACTGCCAAACCCACCTCCTCCCAATCCTCCTGTCCCGTAACCATTTGCACCACCACCACCAACAGCAGCTCCCAAGCCAGCACCACCAGCACCAGTAGATGCCCCAGCACCAAAACCACCACCGTTAGCAGCAGCGGCGGCAGCAGCAGCAGCAGCAGTACCACCCGTCCCCACATTTTGCCTCAGAAACGCCCCCCCATTTCCTGCAACTGTTGCGCTAGCTATAGGTCTTCTCCTCCCCGCAGCCACAGCAGCAGCGGCAGCTGCGGCAGCGGTGGGGGGAAGTGTGGCTCCTGGCCTTGCTCCTGGCTGCATACTGCTGCTGCTCGTGCTGCCCACTCCGAACCCGGCTGCTCCTCCCATTCCTCCTCCCATTCCTCCTCCTCCTCCCAAACCTGCTCCTCCCATTCCTCCTCCCATTCCTCCTCCTAATCCTCCTCCATAGCTGTTCAGCAGCTGCTGTTGCTGCTGTTGGAGGTTGGATGCTGCTGCCGTGCCAGACATCCCACCCATTCTACCTAGCCCGCCTGCCGCTGCTGCTGCGCCCAAACCCCCCAATCCTCCCAATCCTCCCATCCCCCCTCCCATTCCTCCTGTTCCTCCCATTCCTCCTCCCAAGCCTCCTCCCAAACCTCCTCCCAAGCCTCCTCCCATACCTCCTGCCAAACCTCCTCCCAGGCCTCCTGCCCCTCCCAATCCCCCTCCCAGTACCCCAACACCCCCCCCACCAGCCAGTGCTGCATTATAAGCGGCTCCATTATAGGCAACATTCCCTCCTAGAAGCCTCCCCGCTGCAGCCAAGTTACGGTGGGGGTTAGAGAAAGAGGACAACGAGCTTCCCCCCCCTATAGACCCCGGCCCCCCCATTCCTGCCCCCATGCCCCTGTACTGGTACGGGTAATTGTTATTGATATAACCCGTCCCTGCTGCTCCTGCAGGGTTTCCAGCCCCTGCCAGACCTCCTGCTCCAGTAACACCTCCACCAGTAGCACCTGCACGGGCTGTGAGATACCGCAGTGCTGCTATATTGGCAGCTGTTGCCCCTGACAACCCCCCTGTTGCCCCTCCTGCCAACCCTGCCCCTCCTGCTAATCCTGCCCCTCCTGATCCTAATCCCGCCCCTCCCACCCCTCCCATCCCCGTAACCCGCCCATCCCCCCCATCCCTCCCCCCATCCCTCCCCCCATCCCTCCCCCCATCCCTCCCCCCATCCCTCCCCCCATCCCTCCCCCCATCCCTCCCCCCATCCCTCCCCCCATCCCTCCTACCATCCCCCCCATGCCGCCCACTCCTCCCATTCCCCCTGCGCCCAGGGCAGTCCCCCCTCGCAGCGTCACCACTCGCTGAGCCTCAGCATTCAACTCAGCGGTTCCTCTCCCCGTCTCGTAGCTCGCATCCGACCCCGTACCAGTACCACTCCCACTCTCACTCCCTGTGGTGCTGCTGGTGCCTGTTACTGTGCCCATACCTCCCCTCCCTCCCCCCCCTCCGGTGGTCTTCGAATAGATCGAGAGCTCGTCCCCAGAGGACCTTCCAGACACGTAGGACGACTCGGCGATAGATCGATTCCTGGGGAAGGCACCGCTGCCAGCACGGGAGCCACCAGCACCGGTGGCACTGGCACGGGCCGCAGCAGTTGACGCTGCTGCTACTGCTGCAGCCGCTGCAGCAGCAGCCGTGCTAGGGGGCAGACCCGCATTGAGAAAGTACCTGTTGTAAGCTTCGCGCATGGCTGACTCTCTTGCTGCTGCTTCCTGTCTCGACATGGCCCTCCCTCCTCCACCTCTCGTCGCCCCTGTAACACCCGTAACACCCGTAACACCCGTTACCCCAGTAACACCTGTAGCACCTGTGGCTCTGCTGTATCCGCCCACGCTGCTAGCCGCGCCGCCATACACACTCTCTGCCCCCCCATACACGCTAGTGCCGCCCCCATACACGCTCCTGTCATCCCTATCATAAAACATGGACGTCCGAAAGCTCCTAGTCGTTCCAGGGGTCCTAGCCATACTCGCTCCTCCTGGCGTGCGTGCAGTGCTAGCCGCTCCAGGCGTCCTCGCATGCCTTGCTGACCTAGGGGAGTAGACCGTTGACTCATAGTCATACTCCCCGTCGTAATCCTCCTCCCCAAACTCCCCCTCCCCCTCCTCGTAATCATCCTCGTCCCCTGTCTCTGTCATGCTCCCAGTGATAGACCCAGAACCGCTGTAGCTGCTGGCGCGGGCGGGCACTACAAGACGCTGAACGTCGCTCGAGAGCTTCGAAGGGGTCGGAAAAGGGGCCGTTTGTGGGGGGATGCCTGCTAGGAGCGCTGCCACCCCACTTCCCATGGATACTAACCCTCCTGGTGCCCCCAATTGGGAGATAGATGGTCCAAATCCCCCTCGCCCTACACCACCACCACCACCACCAGCAATAGTAGCAGCTCCCAACGGGCGTGACCCAGGGATGTCAATAAACTCACTTATAGCCTCTTTAAGCTTCGAAAACTGCACCGGTTTCCCCAGGAACCCATCCATCCCCACCGCATAGCACCGCTCCTCATCCTCCCTAAGAGCGTTGGCGGTAACGGCTATAATGGGCAGGCGGGGGAGGCCCCCTTGACGCGAGAGGAGGGAGGAGGCAGGAGGGAGGTCAGAGGGGGGTTGCCAGGCGAGGCCATTTTTCTCGTCCCCTGCGGGCGCTCCCCTGTGCTTGGCCCTCTCCACCTCCTCCTCTGGGTATACCCCCGTCCTCTCGTATTGTCGGATAAGGTAGGCAGCCTGCGGTTTGGGAATTCAAGAGAGACACATTGACAAGGAAAAGCAAGGAAATCAGAGGACGCAGCAGGGAGTTAACCCTCCCAAGACGAAGGACCGATTGGGAATCAAATCTCGAAGTGAGTCGACTCGAATTAACAAGGGTCAAAGGGAGTCGACTCGAATTAACAAGGGTCAACCAGAGTCATCCATATGTGGCATACAGAGGTCTGACAGCAGCAGATCATACCGCTCCTTCCTTCCATCCTCGCTGCCTCTACCTCTGACAAGCCTCAATCTCAGTCAACCCTAATCCACAGAATTCAGCAGAAGACAACCAAAGTCAACCAAAGTAAAGCAAAGTCAACGCAATTTCAGCCCATCCATAAGCAGCATGCTCAGGTCTGACAGCAGCGGGCCAAACCGCTCCCGCCTCATGGCCTCTACTTCTAAAACCCCTTAACTTGTGCCAACCCTATCCAGCGCAAGTCAACGCAACTCAACCAAAGTCAACACAACTCAACCAAAGTCAACGCACCTGCAGCCCATCCATAAGCATAGGTCTGACAGCAGCAGGGCAAACCGCTCCCGCCTCACTGGCTCTACCTCTGACAACCATAAATCTGAGCCGAACCTATTTTACAGAAGGAAGTCTGACAAGTCAGCAGAAATCAGCCAAAGTCAACGCACCTGCAGCCCATCCATAAATGGCATGCAAAGGTCCGACAGCAGCAGGTCAAACCGCTCCCTCCTCACTGCCTCTACTTCTAATACCCCTTAACTTGTGTCAAGCCTATTCAACGCAAGTCAATTAAAGTCAACCAAAGTCAACGCACCTGCAGCCCGTCCATGAGAGGCATGCAGAGGTCCGACAGCAGCAGGTCAAACCGCTCCCTCCTCACTGCCTCTACCGCCTCCACCCCGTTCTTTGCCACCGTTGCTCGCAGCCCCAGGCGCTTGAGCATTGAGAGCAGCACCATCACATTCACCTGGCAATGGGAAGTGGGGCAGGGGGTTGCCGGGGGGGATAAGAGAGGAGCAACAGCAGCGGGAAGGCAGCCCATCTCAGTGCTTCCACCCCATTCTTTGCCACTATTGCCACTATTGCTCGCAGCCCCAGGCGCTTGAGCATTGAGAGCAGCACCATCACATTCACCTGGCAATGGGAAGTGGGGCAGGGGGTTGCCGGGGGGGACAAGAGAGGAGCAACAGCAGCGGGAAGGCAGCCCATCTCAGTGCTTCCACCCCATTCTTTGCCACTATTGCTCGCAGCCCCAGGCGCTTGAGCATGGAGAGCAGCTCCATCACATTCACTTGGTATTTGGACGGAAAGGGGGGGGGAAGGGTGGGGGGTTATACAGGGGAAGCACTGGCAGACACAATTTCAACCCAGCTGCTCTGAGCCCCAGGCGCTTGAGCACGGACCGCAGCACCATCACATTCACCTGGCGTTGAAAGAGAAGGGAAGCAAGGGGTGGCGTGACAGGCGGGAAGCGGGGGGATAAGAGAGCAGCAAGAACAACGGGAAGTCACCCCATCTGACTGCCTCCAACCCGTTCTTCGCCACTGTTGCTCGCAGCCCCAGGCGCTCCTGCTGCTACCACTCCTGCTGCTGCTGCTGCTGTTGCTGCTGCTGCTACTCCTGCTGCTGCTGTTCCTGCCCCAAGCCCGATTGCCCTACACCCAGTTTTCACAATCCCAAGTATCCCAAGCAACTCACCGGGTTGTCTTCAGCCACTAGGATCTTGGCCTCTGGTCCTTTGGCCGAGGCAGGGGACAGAGAGGGCACCGACCCGGAAGCTGCGATCACCCCTCCCCCACTCATGCCTCCCCCAGATGGCCGCTCCCCTGATCCTCCTGCCTCCCCTTTCATTGCCTTGGCTCGGGCCAGCAACCCCGCCAAACCCCCGCCCACCACCCCTGCTCCTGCTCCTGCTGCTCCTCCTGCTCCTCCTGCTCCTCCTGCTCCTCCTGCTCCACCTCCTGCTCCTATGCCTGCTGCCGCTCCTCTTGGTTTCCTCAAGTGCTTGGGCGTGATGGCGATCGGCGAGTCTTCCGTATTCTCACTCTCGTAATCCTCCTCCTCATCCTCCCCCTCCTCCTCTTCCTCTGTGTAATCCTCCTCTCCCTCCTCCCCCCCTCCCCCCACCAGCGCCATATGCTCCCGAACAGGGGATAAAGCCCGTGACACCGAGCCAGGTGAGGGGCCGGATATAGAATTACTGTTGGGGAACCCGAAGGGGGCGTTCACTGCAGCAGCGATAGCAGAAGCACCTGTGGGGGAGGCAGGACGAGAGCGAGGGGTGGTGCGCTGGCAGCAAACCGAAAAGGCAAACACCGACCCGGTCCCAACTTTCGACTTAATCGCCATTTTTCCGTGCATTAATTCGACTAACTGCTTGCAGATGGCCAGGCCGAGACCTGTGCCACCATATGCCCGCGTGGGGCCTCCTTCCACTTGCGTGAATTTCTCAAAGAGGAGGGGAAAGGCGTCTTTTGGGATCCCCACGCCAGTGTCGTGCACCTCGCACCACAGCCACACGTCTTGATCCCCCCCGATCTCCCTCTCTGCTGCTGCTGCGGCTTTCCCCTTCCCTTTCCCACTGGCCACTCCTGAAGGGACAATCGACCCCCAAAATCCTCCTCCCCCTCCCCCTCCCCCTCCCCCGGGTCTCATCAGCCCTCCCTCGTCCTCCCCCCTCGTCCTCTCGCTATCCCCATCCTCATCCTCCTCCTCCTCCTCTTCCTCCTCCCCATACTCCTCAGTCGGTAGCTCAGCCAACAGAGGTGCTGCTTGCTCTAGGCTCCCCAAGCTCGCCAGCTTCTTTAAATGTTGCTCCGTAACATCAGATAGAAGTGGTAACCGCCCGCTCCCCCCTCTCCCCGCTCTCCCGCCCTTGTGACTGTGCATCTCAAGTGCGAGCCCCTTCCCCCGGCCCAAGTTAGCAGCTCCAGATCCCCCCGGTCCTCCCCCTCCGGCTCCCCCCCCTCCAGGGACGTTCCACCCGCCTACAGCATACGCCCCAGTGGCTTTCACTATAGCGGCAGAGGGGTCCCTGTCATGTGCCGAAACCCGGAGCAGAATATGCCCCTGATGGGTGAACTTAATAGCGTTTAAGACTAAGTACTTAATCACCTGCCGCACGCGCAGCTCGTCCCCTAGAATCTGCACAGGGATCTCCGGGGAAATATCCGCTAGCACTTTAATCCCTTTTTCCTTAGTAGCCGCCATAGCCATTTTCAAAATATGATTAATCACCGCCACCGGCTCGAATGGATGCTCCTCTAACTTCATTTCCCCGGCCTCCATACTCGCGAGATCCAAGATATCAGCCAAAATATCCGATATGATCACGCCTGATGACATCATCGTTTCGACAATCTCCCTGTGCTCCTCCTCCAGGGCTCCAGACTCCAGCAAAACCTCGGCTAAACCCAAGATGCCATTGAGGGGGGTGCGGATCTCATGACTCATGATGGCGAGGAACATGGACTTGGCGCGCATCGCGTCCTCTGTGAGCTCGTATGCCCGCCTTAACTCTTTTTCTGTTGTATTCCGCACCATCATCTCGGCTCGTAGGGCCATGAGGCGCTCTTTGTACTGGGCCTGAAGGGGAGCAGGTAAAGAGAGGGACGTGGGGATGCAGAGCAGCAGACGAGAAGGGAGGGAAAGGGAAAGGAGGGGAGGGATGCCATTCGTGATCGTGAGGAGTCTATTTTTGAGGCGCCTAAAAAAAACAAGATGCAGGGCAGCAGACGAGAAGGGAGGGAAAGGGAAAGGAGGGGAGGGATGCCATTGAGGGGGGTGCGGCTCTCGTGGCTCCTGATAGCGAGGAACATGGACTTGGCGCGCATCGCGTCTTCCGTGAGCTCATATGCTCGCCTCAACTCTTTTTCCGTGGTGTTGCGCACCATCATCTCGGCTCATAGCGCCATCAGTCGCTCCTTGTAATGGGCCTGATGGGAGGGATGAAGCAGACAAGCCGCAGTTCTTTTTCTGTGGTGTTCCGCACCGCACCATCATTTCCGCTCTCAGCACCATCATTTCCGCTCTCAGCACCATCATTTCCGCTCTCAGCACCATCATTTCCGCTCTCAGCACCATCATTTCCACTCTCAGCACCATCATTTCCGCTCTCAGCACCATCATTTCCGCTCTCAGCACCATCAGTCGCTCCTTGTTCTGGGCCTGATGGGAGGGATGAAGTGAAGCAGACAAGCCGCAGTTCTTTTTCTATGGTATTCCGCTCTCAGCACCATCAGTCACTCCTTGTAATGGGCCTGATAGTGGAGCAGGGGAAGAGGGACGTGCGGGAAACGCGGCACCAAGGAAGAACGGGTAAGTGGGGATGTAGAGCGTCAGAAGGGAGGGGAGGAAAGGGGAGGGGGGGGGAGGGATGCCGTTGAAGGGGGTGCGGATCTCGTGGCCCGTGATGGCCAGGAACATGGACTTGGCGCGCATCTCGTCTTCCGTGAGCTCGTATGCTCGCCACAGCCCCTTCTCTGTGGTGTTGCGCACCATCATCATGGCTCTTAACGCCATCAGTCGCTCCTTGTACTGGGCCTAAAGGGAAGCAGGGGAAGAGGGAGAAAGTGGAAAACAGTGCACCAGGGAAGCAGAATAAGGTGGGTATGCAGAGCATCAGAAGGAAAGGGAGGGACGGGTGGCGGTGCGATGAGGGGGGTGCGGATCTCCGTCGTAACTCACACCACAAGTATCTCTGTCTCTCTCACATTAGCATACTGTCCCTTCCTCCCACCTTCATACCTCCTCTGTGGTATAAACGGATTGATAAAGTCACCCCCACAGTCCGCCCTTTCTGTTCCTTGCGCAGCTGAGCAATCGTCACCCCCACCACTGAGATCTCTGCCTCCCTTACAAAGCATACCCTCCCTCTCCCCCCCACTCTCCGCACCTCCCCTGTGATATCAACACTCGATGTGGTCACCCCCACGGTCTGCCCCTTCTTGTCCTTGAGCGGCCGAGCAGCCGTCAACCACACCCCAACCCCAACCCCTCGCTCACTTCCTCTGTGATATCAACACTCGATGTAGTCAACCCCACGGTCGGTCCGCCCCTTCACATCCTTGAGCGGCCGAGCAGCCGTAACCCAAACCATGGATATCTCTGCCTCTCTTACAATACCATACCCCCCCTCCCTCCCTCTACCAAACCTCCTCCTCTCTGATATCAACGCTAAATGTGGTCACTCCCACGGTCCTCCCCTTCTCATCCTTCAGTGGCCGAGCAGTTGTCAACAACACCCCAACCCCAACCCCTCACCTCCGCTCACCCCAAAAGTCCGCCCTTTCTCATCCTTAAGCAGTCGAGCAGTAGTCACCCACACAACGAATATGTCTATCTTACCGAACATACCCTCCTCTCACCTCCCCTCACCTCCCCTCACCCCCTCTCACCTCCTCTGTGATATCAACACTGGATGTAGTCACCCCCACGGTCCTCCCTTTCTCATCCTTGAGCGGTCGAGCAGTCGTCACCCAAACCATGGGGGACTTTCCCGGAAGCTGCCACACCACCTCGCCGCGCTGCGGCTTGCCGGTGGCGAGCGCTCGCTGCTTGATCTCCATCGCCTCCTCCAATCCCAGCGTGCCAGGTGGCAGGATGTCGTAGTCCCTCTTGCCTATCATGTCCTGTTTGCGTTTGAGGTGGGTGGGTGGGTGGGTGGGTGGGTGTGTCGTAGTCCCTCTTGCCTATCAAGTCCTGCTTATGATAAGCACACTCCTGAGGTGCCTCAAACGGGATTAAACGATAAGCAGTGAGGGAAGTGACGTTTGAGTAAACTCAAAAGTCACCGCTTGAGGTGTCTCAAAAAGGATAAGCAGTGAGGGAAGGGGAAGGGAAGGGGGAGGGGGAGAGAAGAGGGAGAGAGGAGAGGGGGAGGGATGAGGAAGAAAGGGAGTTGGACTAGAGGGAAAGGGAGATGCGCGAGCAGATAGAGAGGAGTTAAAAGAGCCGGGAGAGACCATGTGCTCGGAATTTAACAGGGCTCACGTTTTCAAAGGGCTCGTGGTTTCAAAGGGCTCGCGGTTTCCAAGGGCTCGCGGTTTCAAAGGGCTCGCGGTTTCAAAGGGCTCGCGGTTTCAAAGGGCTCGCGGTTTCAAAGGGCTCACGGTTTCAAAGGGTTCGCGGTTTCAAAGGGCTCGCGGTTTCAAAGGGGCTCGCGGTTTCAAAGGGCTCGCGGTTTCAAAGGGCTCGCAGTTTCAAGGGGCTCGCGGTTTCAAAGGGCTCGCGGTTTCAAAGGAAGGGCTTGCGGTTTCAAAGGAAGGGCTCGCGGTTTCAAAGGGCTCGCGGTTTCAAAGGGCTTGCGGTTTCAAACCGCATCTAACGAGCCGGGAGAGACCATGGACTCGGGCTCGTGGTTTGCTCACTAGAATTGGATTGGATTCGCCATTTGAGCAGAAGAACAAAAACGCATTTGGCTTCTGCGCCCTGTATTGACCTCTGCTAATCTCACCTGGACTCTGTCGAATCCACCTGGCCTCTGTTGTCCCCACCTAATCTCTGCTGACCCTACCTGGCCTCTGTTGTTCTCACCTGATTCATCAGCAGGTTGTGGTTGAACACCCAGGTGTATCTCAGGGTCGTATCCAGGTGAGCAATCATAAAAGGCGACCTCTCCAAGGCCACCTGAAGATTCAACCCTTCACCCGCCCCCCCCACCACCCCTCCTGCCCCCATCACCCCTCCTTTTCCGCCTCCCTTTCCCCCAATCCCTCCTCCCCCACCCCCCCCAGCAGCCCCTGCAGCATCGGGTAAATAGCTAGCAGCGCCCATCCGCCTAGCAGACCCCAAACCCAGGGTGGTTAGATCTCCACCGTTGATATTGCCAGAAGAATCCAGCCCCAGGGCGCCAAATGCTGCTCTGCTGCTGCTGCTGGCGATGGTGTTCCCAGCGAGAGAGGAGCACTCGTTGAGGGCCCGGTCTAGCCGGAGCTTGACGTCTGTCAATTGCTGCTCTAGGGCAGCAAATGCTGCTGTGTCACCCTGTGTGGGGGGGCGGGGTGGGGTGGGGGGAGAGGCGGGGGGGGGGGGGCGGGGGGTTGGAGGCAGGAGGGGGGGGGGGGGGGGGATATGATGTGAGTCACATGCAGCAGCACTCGTTGAGGGCTCGGTCCAGCCGGAGCTAAACGTCTATCAGCTGCTGCTCCAGCGCTGCGAAGGCTGCTGTGTCGCCCTGTGAGTGACGGGGGTGGTAGGAAGGAAAGAGGGGGGCGATGCATGTCAGACATGCCGCATTGGTTGAGCGCCCGGTCCAGTCTCAGCTTGATGTCTGTCAGCACCTACTCCAATGTTGCGAACGCTGCTGTGTCGCCCTGTGGGGAGGGTACAAGGCACAGAGGGAAAAGCGCAGAGGGCAGAGGGTTGAGGGCCCCGTCGAGTCGGCGTTTCACGTCTGTCGGCTGCTTCTCTAGAGCTGCAAATGCTGATGTGCCGCCCTGTGCAGTGGGGACTCGGGAGGGTGGTTGGAGGAGGGGGCATATAGGGCATATAGGGCGACGGGGAGATGGGGATGGGTGATGGCGTCAGCTCGTGGACTTTTGAGTCCACTCGTGGTTGAAAGGTCATCTCGAAAGGTCATCTCGAAAGGTCATCTCGAAAGGTCATCTCGAAAGGTCATCTCGAAAGGTCATCTCGAAAAGTCATCTCGAAAGGTCATCTCGAAAGGTCATCTCGAAAGGTCATCTCGAAAAGTCATCTCGAAAGGTCATCTCGAAAGGTCATCTCGAAAGGTCATCTCGAAAGGTCATCTCGAAAGGTCATCTCGAAAGGTCATCTCGAAAGGTCATCTCGAAAGGTCATCTCGAAAGGTCATCTCGAAAGGTCATCTCGAAAGGTCATCTCGAAAGGTCATCTCGAAAGGTCATCTCGAAAGGTCATCTCGAAAGGTCATCTCGAAAAGTCATCTCGAAAGGGGAGATGGGGACGGGTGGTGATGGCGTCAGCTCGTGGTTGAATTGAAAGGGGCCAGCGCCACAGCGCGAGGAGGAGTCTATTTCGAGGTTGACGGCACCACAGCGCGTGGGGTGAGGCACCTAAGAAATAGACTCCTCTTGAGGAGTCATCAACCAGGAGTCTATTTGTGTCGCCGGCTCGTGGTTGAAGGCGCCACAGCATCAGCGCCAGCGCCACAGCGTGAGGCCCCTTAAGAAATAACTTTTGAGTCGACTAAAAAAATAGGCTCCTTTTGAGGCGCTGCATATAGGGAGACGGGGGGGCGGGCGATGACGTCAGCTCGTGGTTGAAAGGGGCCAGCGCCCCAGCGCGAGGAGGAGTCTATCTCGAGGTTGATGGCACCACAGCGCGAGCACTGATGTTTGCCCGTGCGTTCTCTGCTTCAACTCCCCCCACCAGGCCCCATTCCTCCCCTCACCTCTTCCTCCATCTGCCGTAATCTGCTCGTCATCTCGTGGTTTCGGGAGGCCAAGGCCACAGCACAGGCAGTAATGCTGGTAGCTACCCTCCCGCCCCCATCACCCACTCTCCGCTATCCTGACCTCCTCTTCCATCTGCCGCAATCGAGTCGTCAGCTCGTGGTTGCGGGCCAGGGCCACAACACAGGCACCGATGCTCGCCCGTAGGCCCCCCCCCTCCTCTCGGGCTCTCCCTCCCCCCTCCCTTGCCCCCTTGCCTTCCTCCCATCCTCACCTCTTCCTCCATCTGTCTCAGTCTGCTCGTCAGCTCGTGGTTGCGTGTTGCCAGGGCCGCAGCCCGAGCAATGATGCTCGCCCGCGTGTCTCCCCCCTTCCCATGCCCCCTTCCCTTGCCCCCATCCTCACCTCTTCCTCCGTCTGCCGCAGCCTGCTTGCCAGCTCGTGGTTGCAAGTGGCCAGGGCCACAGGCCGTGCAGTGATGCTCGCAACTTCCCAACTTCTTCACCCCCCTACCCTACCCGCCTTCCTTTCCCTCCCGCGCTCACCTCCTCTTCCATCTGCCTCAGTCTGGTCGTCAGCTCGTGGTTGCGAGTTGCCAGAGCCACGGCACGGGAGGTGATGCTCGCCATCCCCCAACCAACCCCCACCCCTTCCCAGCACACACATACCTCCCCCAACTCCCCTCACCTCCTCCTCTATCTGCCTCAGTCTGGTCGTCAGCTCGTGGTTGCGAGTTGCCAGAGCCACGGCACGGGAGGTGATGCTCGCCATCCCCCAACCAACCCCCCACCCCTTCCCAGCACACACATACCTCCCCCAACTCCCCTCACCTCCTCCTCTATCTGCCTCAGTCTGGTCGTCAGCTCGTGGTTGCGAGTTGCCAGAGCCACGGCACGGGAGGTGATGCTCGCCATCCCCCAACCAACCCCCCACCCCTTCCCAGCACACACATACCTCCCCCAACTCCCCTCACCTCCTCCTCTATCTGCCTCAGTCTGGTCGTCAGCTCGTGGTTGCGCGTTGCCAGAGCCACAGCACAGCGTGCACCCTCTCCCTCCTCATCCCCACTAGGCCCCCTCCCTCCCGCCCTCACCTCCTCTTCCATCTGCCTCAGTCTGGTCGTCAGCTCGTGGTTGCGCGCTGCCAGAGCCACGGCACGGGAGGTGATGCTCGCCCGCGCGTCCTCCGCCTCTTTGATCCGCACCTCCAGACTCGTCGTTCGAACCTTCCAGAAGTCCACGCCTTGCTCATTCTCCTCAGAACCTAAAGCGAATATTGGGAGGAGAGAGTAAGAGGGGTGTCAGGGCTCGCCCGAGCGTCCTCCGCCTCTTTGATCCGCACCTCCAGACTCGTCGTTCGAACCTTCCAGAAATCCATATTCTGCTCACCCTCCTCTGCGCCTATAGGAAACAAGGCCCGGGGTGAAGGGAGAGGGGGAGGAGGGGGGGGGGTGGGGGCGGAAGTGGGGCGAGGAGGGAAGAAGGAGAGGGGTGGGGGGTGGGGGGTCGGGGGTGGGGGGAAGGAGGGGGAGATAAGAGGGGTGACGCAACTTGCCCATGCGTCCTCCGCCTCTTTAATCCGCACCTCCATTCTCGTGGTACTAAACTTCCTGAAATCAACCCCCTGCTAATTTTCATCTGAGGCTAAGAATACTTCCGGAGAGGGGGGGGGAGGGAGAGGTGGGGAGAGGGTTGGGCAGAGGATAAGAGGAGCCTCATAGTTCCGGCCACACATCATCCGCTGCTGGCATTCGCATCACCAGTCTGGTCTGGGAAGGGGGGGATGGGTGGGGGGAGGAGAGAGGAAAGCCGGGGAGGGCGGGGGAAGAAGGGGGGGGGGAGAGGAGAGGGCAATGGGGCCTCATAGTTCGGCCACACATCATCCGCTGCTGGCATTCGCATCACCAGTCTGGTCTGGCGGATTGCAGGGGTGGGGGAAACGGGAGCACTGGCAGAGGGTGGAGAATGCGGGGGCGATTTCGTTCTGAGTCGACTCAAAACGAAACTGCTCACACACGGATGCTTCGCATCACCAGTCTGGTTGGCGGATAGGATAGCAGGGGATGGAGAATGCGGGGGGCGCGGGGGAAAAGGGGAAAAGGCAAGTATGGGAGGTGGGGGGAGGGGGAGAGAGTGGAAGAACGAGAGAGATTCGCTATAGATAGACGTACCCATGATCTTGTCTAGGTCGGGATACAGAGAGTGTGAGTCAAGAGTCTGTGTGCGCCTCAGACCTCCTGACGACCCCTTGTCCCCTGCCATGCCATGCCATGCCATGCCATGCCAATGAACAAGTCAATTCCGTTGCATGCCATGCCATGCCAAGCCACGAAGAGGGATGAGAAGTAACGCGGGGTGATGAGAGAGAGGTAGAGTGGTAGCGGAGAGGAAGAGCAATGCTGGGCGACGTAGGGCTTAATTGATATGAACAAGAACAGGGTACGAAGTCTATTTTTGAGGCGCCTCAAAAATAGACTCTCTTTTTTTAGGCGCCTCAAAAATAGACTCTTTTTTTTAGGCGCCTAAAAAATAGACTCCTCATGCTGGGCAACGTAGGAGCTAATTGATATGAACAGGAACAGGGCAAAGAGGGGCGGGAGGGGGAAGGCGGGGAGTAAGAGCACTGACTAACACACTACAGTGTCGCCTCCTAGTAAGTGATTAGAACCCTAGGAGCATGGAGGTACAAAAATCTTCCTCTCTGAAGAGGGAGAACGAACTCACTTTGACTGTCTCCTGCCGACGTGGCATGGGCAGATCCGGCGTCGTGTAGCTGTTCCTCCAATGGCGTCATGCCACCTGTCGCGAACTGAACCTTCTTCGCAGCATCGCTGTGAGCGCGCTGCAGTCGGCCTCCCGGGGCCGTTGGATGCGGCGGGGGTAATCCGGGCTTTAAGGACGAGATTAGCGGTGCGGGCGGTCTATTCTTCGACATGGCTGCTTTCGTAGTCGCCTTAGGACGTGGTTGCTTAAGGCCAGCAGTCTAGCTCCTCTTAACGAGGTGAATTGGTTATGTTACACTACAGTCGCTAGCGTTAGGAGTCAGTAGTGATACTGCTCATGATCGTTGCTGGTATGGAGCGTTTCGTTATTAGCAGCATCATTGTTGGATGCGTGAGGCCATTCCAGCCTAGGCACTCGTGTCACACCCTGCTTTCCGTTGCTGCTGATAGTGAGATGCTGAATCAGACGCAACGAGATACCGAGTCACGAACGACAGTCAGTAGCTGACTAGACGCGACGATACGTAGGGTCATTCCAGCTTAGGAAGCCTCGTGTCATACCCTGCTTTCCGTTGCTGCTGATAGTGAGATGCCGCAGAGTCAGACGCAACGGCGAGATGCTGAGTTACGAACAACAACTCGTCAGTGTCCCTCGGTCAGTATTAGTCAGCATAAACGGACACACGGCTAGTGACTGTCATTGTCGCGGCCTGGCCATTGTCGGCAATTAGTACTCTTAGAGACGTTCGGGAGGCGACTATTGAATACCTCCACTTAGTTCGCTGCCTAACTCTCTCATATCCGCCAGTGTGACCCTGATCACCGTGAAAGTAGCAACGGATGCGCGGATTAGTATCTGTACACGAGAAGGCTAATCAAGAAAACGGCAATGACGTGACGTAGCTCAATTAGTAGCTCGCATGCTGAAGACTGCAATAGTAATAAGTGCAGCGCACAACCCGCGGGTTCTGTTCTACGAGGTGGTGGTATTAGTGTGCCTAATTACCTATCGCTGGTGGAAGAGGTGAAAATATACATGGCCAAGAAAGTTGGGTATTATCTAGGTTGCGTTTCGCAAACTCTTCGCCCAAACCATACGAAGACACGCGACTAGTAACTAGGACAATTCGTTGGAGGACGACCGGCCTTGGGAGTGCCGGAGTAACATACGCCGAGCGACTTGGTCCCCTTTCTCGAACTTTCCCCCTTGCTGCCCGCCCTAGGAATTTCCGTCGTTCCCCGATTTGGCGTGCGATGCGATGTCGCTGATGCCAGAACGTGCCAGGCAGCAAACAAGCGCTTCACCCGCTATTCTTGTCACATGCTAGGCACTTCACCCGGTTCGCGCAGCAAGCAACCCTAAGGGGTATGACGCTTACCGGGTTCACATCAAATTCTACAGCTGCCTTCCTCAACATGCGAAAAACAGATTCATAACCACAACTTAGAAGCTACAACACCTCGATCCATAAGAAGCATGAAAACTTGGAGCAGCCTTAAATCTAACATTCAGTCCTCTACATATAAGCAAAGCTTTTCATTGTGAAATTTTATATAAACTGTAACAAAACGGCAATGCATGTTTCTTCTGCAAATCGGTGGTACGGTACTTCGACTTTGTCCTGCCTCGAATCACACTATGAGCAATATGTCAAACATGTGTACTTGTCATGTTTGTATAGACTGTATAGGGTAGTCTCTTAGAGGGTACAACCCTGAGATATATCCTTGTGTACTCTCTTTCTATCTAACATTCAATTAACAATTCTGTTACGGTATCACGCGTAGGTAGGATCCCTCCCCACCTACCGCTTCCGCTCACCCCTCTAGCCCCTAGCCCAGTCGCGACCCCCCCTAGCCCCGTCGCGCCCCTCCCTGGGCCCTGTCGCGCTCCTCCCAGGCCCCGTCGCGTCCTCCTTGGGCCCTGTCGCGCCCCTCCTGGGCTTCGTAGCGCCCCTCCTGGGCTTTGTAGCGCCCCTTCCAGGCCCCGTCGCGCCCCTCCCAGGCCCCCTAGCGCCCCTCCTGGGCCCTGTCGCGCTCCTCCCAGGCCCCGTCGCGCCCCTCCTGGGCCCCGTCGCGCCCCTCCTGGGCTTCGTAGCGCCCCTCCTGGGCTTCGTAACGCCCCTCCTGGGCTTCGTAGCGCCCCTCCAGGCCCCGTCGCGCCCCTCCCAGGACCCCTAGCGCCCCTCCTGGGCCCCGTCGCGCTCCTCCCAGGCCTCGTAGCGCCCCTCCTGGGCCCCGTAGCGCCCCCTCCTGGGCCCCGTCGCGCCCCTCCCAGGCCCCGTCGCGCCCCTCCTGGGCTCCGTAGCGCCCCTACTGCGCCCCGTCGCGCCCCTCCTCGGCCCTGTAGCGCCCCTCCTGGGCCCCGTCGCGCCCTCCCTGGGCCCTGTAGCGCCCCTCCTGGGCCCCGTCGCGCCCCTCCCAGGCCCCGTCGCGCCCCTCCTAGGCCCCGTAGCGCCCCTCCTGGGCCTCGTCGCGCCCCTCCTGGGCTACGTAGCGCCCCTCCTGGGCCTCGTCGCGCCCCTCCTGGGCCCCTGTAGCGCCTCTCCTAGGCCCCCGTCGTGCCCCTCCTGGGCCCCGTCGCGCCCCTCCTGGGCCGTGTCGTACCCGCCTGCCGCCGTCACACCCGCCCGGCCCCGTCGCGCCCGCCCGGCCGCCGTCCAGCTCGCCCGGCCCCGTCGCACCGGCCCGGCCCTGCCGCACTTGCCCGGCCCCGTCACCCCAGCCCAGCCCCGTCGCGCTCGCTCGGCCCCGTTGCCCCGTCCCGGCCCTGCCGCACCAGCCCGGCCCCGTCGCGCCAGCCCGGCCCCGTCGCACCGTGCCCGGCCCCGTCGCACCCGCCCGGCCGCCGTCCCGCTCGCCCAGCCCCGTCGCACAGGCTCTGCCCTGCCGCCCTCGCCCGGCCCTGTCGCACCAGCCCGGCCCCGTCGCGCCCGCCCGGCCCCGTCGCGCCAGCCCCGGCCCTGTCCTCCTCACTGGTACGGTTCCCCCCACCCCGCCCTGCACTGCCCTGCTCCGTGCCGCCCCGCACCACACTGTACTGCTTTGCACCGCACTCCACCGCACTGCACCGCACTGCACCGCACTGCACCACACTGTACCGCACTGCACCGCACTGTACCGCACTGCACCGCGCCCCACCTAGTTGCACTGCCCTGCACCGCACCGGACTGTTCCTGATGGCGGCGGAGCTTCGCTTCGACGCTGAAGGTCAGCCCCTAGAGTTCGAGGCGTGGCTTGCCGACCTCCGCCGCCAACTCACTGGCCAGCGGCAGGATGGTGAACCGCTTTCAGCACACCTTGACGGTACGCTCCCATGCCCAGACCCCCCTGCTATTCGGCCCGCTGACCCCACACCCACTGAGCGTGAGTCTACTGCTGCCACTGCCCGTGCGCGCTCTGTCTGGCTTTCTCGCAATGCTGTCGCCCAGCTTGCCATTAGCAACGCCCTCCCCCCGTCCGAGCGTCCTCGCTTTAGGTCCCTCACTACTGCTCAGGCATACTTAGATGCTGTCATCAAGCGCTATTCCACCCCTCCGGCTGCCTCGGTGGGTCGCCTGATCCTCCCGATGCTCTTTCCTGACCTTGCATCTTTCTCCACTGTCTCTGACCTCCCTGCCCACCTGCGCTCGATAGAGGAGACCTGGCGCGCCGCCTGCACTGACGCACAGCTTAGAGCCCACCAGCCGCCCATTACCTCTACCCTCTACCTGCTTGCCACCCGCCTCCCTGACCGCCTTGCTGTCGCCCGCGACCGCTTCCTTAGCCTTTACCCCGCCGACCTCACCCTCACTGACTTTGTAGACACCCTGACTGTGATAGAGACCCGTCACCGCTCCATCGCCCAGGCGAGCGGTGTCGTGCCTGTCCCTATCTTTCAGGGTTGTGCCCCCGCTCAGTGTACCTTCTCCGACGGCTCTGTCGCAGTGGCTGAGACTGCTGCTGCCGTGCAGTTTCGTTCGGAGAAGGGCCACCACCCCAAGGTTGGGCGCGGCGGAGGCGGAGGCGCGGGTGCGGGCGGGGGTAGTGGTGGGGTCGGGTCGTCTGGTGCTGGAGCGGACAAGGGGACCCTGCCCAGTCCAGCTGAGCCGCAGCCCCTGCAGTTGCAGCAGCCGCAGCAGCCGCCGCAGTCGCAGCCTTCGCAACAGCCGCAGCAGTCGTCGCAGACGCGGCAGACGAGTGTCCTCCCGCCCGGGTGGCCCGGCGCTGGCGGTGGCCGGGCGCGTGGTGGTGTGTCGAGTGGTAGCTCTGGCGGCGGGCGTTGTCAGTGTCAGATCCAGACTGGTCCTCGCCGCGGCTTCGTTTGCGGTAAGATCGGTCACTCCACTCCCCGCTGTTTTCGACGCCTGGACGACCTCTTTCGTCAGCGCTTCGGCCCGTTGCCAGACCTCCCGGACTGGCACAGTTTGCTTAGTCGTAAGATTCAGAGCTTTGATATGGACATGGATGCCATTGTTTCTGCTCTGCATGTGATGTATGCTGATGACTCTAGTGTGCTTCCAGCTTATTACTCACTGTTGCCTAGTATAGGTGTGCCTAGCGTACCCTCCCCTGCTGCGTCAGCAGAGGATCCTCTGCTTTGTATAGTCTTGGTGCTTCCGCCGTCGTTCAGTCGCCAGCCGCCTCTGCTTCGCTTTCCTTCACCTTGGACTCTGGCGCTTCTCGGTGTTTCTTCCGCGACTCCACCACCCTGACGCCGCTTCCTGTTCCTGCTGCCGATTCTCTTGCTGACCCCTCCGGCGGTCCTGTCGTCTCCCGCAGTTCCACCACCCTTCCCTGTCCGGCGGTTCCTTCAGGTACTCTTACAGGTCTGCATATCCCCTCGTTCTCTAGGAACCTAGTTGGTGTCGGCTGCCTCCAGGACCTTGGCGTCACCACTACGTTCCCTGGTCACGAGCGGTATGCTGTCTGTACCGAGGCCGCCACCGGTGCCCCCCTGTCCACGTTCCCCCGAGACCCGGTGTCCGGCCTGTTCACTCTGGACACCGTGACCCCCCCGGCTGGAGCGCTCCCCCAGGTTGCTGCTGCCTGCTCCTGTCGGTCCCTCACTCACCCGACCCTCCTTTGGCACCACCGCCTAGGTCACCCTGCGCTCCCGCGTCTGCGTCACATGTCCCAGCACGGTCTTGTCCTTGGTCTCCCAGGTTCTCTCCCCCGCGTTTCCCTCCTCCCCAGCCCCACCTTGCACGCCTTGCGTCGAGGGTCGGCTTCGCCGTGCCCCTCACTCCTCCTCGTTTCCCCCTACCGCCGCGCCGCTGCAGACCCTGCACCTGGACGTCTGGGGCCCCGCCCCCGTCCCTGGGCCGCGTCGAGAGCGCTACTTCCTTGTGCTTGTCGACGACTTCACTCGTTACACCACAGTCTTTCCCCTGGAGCGCAAGGCCGACGTGCCTGGCGCTCTCATCCCCTGGCTTGTCTCTGCGCATGTCCACCGCGGTCTACCTGTCTTGCGTCTTCACTCAGACCGTGGTGGCGAGTTTGCCTCAGGTGTCCTTGGTCGCTTTTGTCGTGCGGAGGGCATCACCCAGACGTTCACCCTACCGGACTCCCCACAGCAGAATGGGGTCGCTGAGCGACGCATCGGTTTGGTCATGGAGGTGGCCCGCACCTCCATGGTCCATGCCGGTGCACCCCATTTTCTGTGGCCGTTCGCTGTGCGCTACGCTTCTCACCAGCTTAACTTGTGGCCGCACCCTCAGCAGCCGCAGATTTCGCCGACCCGTCTTTGGACTGGGTCTCCTGGTGACGCGTCTGCGTTCCACGTCTGGGGCTGCCTTGCTCACGTCCGTGCCTCCGGCACGGACAAGCTCACTGCCCGCACCCTTCCCTGCGTCTTCCTTGGTTTCCCCCTTGACGCGTCCGACTGGCACTTTTACCACCCGCCGTCTCACCGCTTCTTTCACTCTCGTGACGTCACCTTTGACGAGTCCGTCTCCTACTACCGTCGCTTCCCCCACCGTGGTCCCCCGGTTATCCC